ATCCATCCCACTCTTACCATCACTGTGTAGTTCATCTTCACTATTCCCGTAGCAAGACTAAACATTGGCCCCCACCTTCTGCAGTTCCTATGTAATGCTTGGAGAATTTAAAGGAAGCTTTAGTAAGATTCTGCTGGAAAAGCAGGAAATTACAGAGCAAGAAAGAGAAAAGTTCATTGAACATTTCTATACTAATTCAGATCTGGGGTGAAGCCTGAACATCTGCATTTATTGCAGGATCTCAAGATGCAGGTGCTGTCAGTCTAGGAACCATACTTTGAGTAGCAAAGGTGGGAGGACTTCACAGTATCAGTGATGATAGATCTTTTCCCTCCTTAAGGGATCTCTCTAGGCTTCTGGCTGCCAATGTTTAAAAGCAGCCTTCCACCCCATGAAGACTGCATTTAATGTTCTTTTCTGATGCAAGAAAAATTTAGGTTCAAGAATCAAGATGGCAAGAATAGGGTAAGGGCACATTTAAACAGAGATTCATCAGCCAGGATGAAGCAGAGTTCACACTCCAGGAAATAGGAGAAGACAGGCTGATGGCAGAAAGGGTACCTGACAACTAACAGACACAGAAAAGCAGGAGACACGACAGTGCACTGTTGCAATGACCAAATAGGTAAGTGACAAACTGAGCTCCACCAGTGGCCAGAGCTACACCAGCAGCCAGGAGAGTTCATTGGGAGCTCAGGAGGTGACACAGCTTAGAAATCTGCCCTAACGAAAAGAATTTGTTGAGAAGTACAGTGACCAAGAGCAAAAGAAGAGACAGATGAATGATGAATATTACTTAAGACATCCCTGCAAAGGAGCAAAAGCCTTTGACAATCTCAGAGTTAACAGAGGAATATATTGAGAAAATGGGGATACAGGATTGAGAAAAGTCATTATAAAGCTTGTTATCAACAATGAGAAGTCATACAAGGGTTCAACCAATTTAAGGAGTATGCCACACAAGAAATAGCAACACTGAAACAAAATTAAGCCAAATTATTGGAAACAAAGGATACAGTAGAGCAAATTAAAAATTCAGTGAAAGTCTCAATAATAGAATAAAGGAAGTAGAAGAAAAATCTCAGAATTGGAAGATATTTCTTGTCACAATGGAGAAACAATCAAAAAGCTGAAAGCAGAGCTGAGTTGAACTAAAAAAAAAAAGTAAGAATTAAGTGACACTATTAAAAGACCAAATATAAGAGTTTTGGGAATTCCAGAAGTGCAGAAAGAAAAGCTGGATTTAAAAGTGTATTTAATTATATAATAAAAGAAAACTTCCCTACTCTGGAGAAAAAACTGGGAAACAACATCCAAGAGGGGCACAGAACTTTCAACAGAGTTGACCAAAAGTGATCTTTACCATGACACATGATAATCAAGCTCTCTTCAATTGAACAGAAGAAAAAGATCCTTAAATGTGCACGTAGAAAAAATCAACTGACATATAAAGAAATGCCAGTCAGACTTACAGCTGACCTCTCACTGGAAATTTTACCGGCCAGAAGAAAATGGAGTGACATATTCCAGAATCTAAAAAGGAAAAAAATTGTCAGCCCAGAATAACATATCCAGCAAAGCATCCATTTGTCTTTGAAAATGAAATAAAATTTTTCCACAGTAAAGAAAAGTTAAAAGAATATGCCTCTTCCAGTCCTGCCCTACAAACGATACTTCAAAGATATTCTCATGACAGAAAAAAAGAAGTAGCATCTGCAAACCAAAAGGCAAATGTGAAGAATATCCCAGTAAAATAGGAACAGAAGGCTAAATCAATTAATAATCCATTGCTAAAATGACAAAACCAAATTATCACCTACTCATGTTATCCTGAATGTAAAAGGCTTAAACCCATCCATCAAATGTCATAAATTAGTAAACTGGATTACCAAAACCCATCTATCCTACAGGAGATGCTTCTCACCAACAAAGATCAGCAGAAACTATAACTAATGGATTTTGATGTTTTGTTTTTATTTTCATTTCTTCAAAAGCAGGATTTTTCCTCATTAAGTTCTTCACTGATTCATAGGTCATGCTGTAGTATCATTTTCTTCAAGAAGATTCTTGATTTTCATTTCTTTAGTGACATATTAGTCATTCAGTAGCATGTCAGCTATTGTAAATTTCTATCTTTCTTCCTGTTGATTTTGTTTTGTGGCTTTTCATTTAAAGTAATGTTTAGTAACTGTGTAATGGAGACTATCATATTCCGATTATAATACAGTATGCATCTCTACTTCCAGATCAAAGATAGACTCCCAATGAAACTGTTACGTCTTAACAATAGAATGCTGAACTCTCTGCCAGTATTCATGTCCTATATTATAATAATATAGGGAAAATAGGGGGGGCAGGGAGGGAATTTGAGGAGGAGTTAAGAGAAAACCCAGAGCAGATGTATCATAAAATAATAATTTTTAAAATGGGTGGAAGTATATTACTTTAACCATGCAAAAAATAAAATAAAACTTCCAGAAAAATAAGAGAAAAAAACTTTTTTTCCAACTCCATTTAAATCCCTAAATTATTTCACCCTCCTCAAATTTCTTTGCCTACTTTCCTCCGCAATGCCTCACATTAAATTTTTTTTACATTATACACAGAATGGTTTAGCTCTTTGTATTCTTGATCTTTCTATCACAGAACAGAATCTAGTCTTGATTTTGCATAGTAACCACAGGTCCGGGGTCTTCATCCAAAATTGAACCATGAACCTCCAATCCTGAATGGTCAGTTTCAAATTATAGCATGTCCCCCAGTTCTGAACATTTGAGTTATGGCTGGATGTGTAAGACATCCAATCTCAAGCATTCTTAGGAGATCATGTGTCTAAAACCCTTGGTTTTACAGATTAGAAAATGGAGACCAAAGCAGGTTAAATGATGGCCTTCACAATAGCCTTTGGTGCTGATTGGATGTCTGAATATTGCATGTCTAACACCGAGGCTCTTGGTTTTGTTTTTGTTTATTTTCTTTTAAAGCCAGTTACTTTAGTCAGTTTTGTTTTTGAGCTTGACAGCAGCTCTATAAACAAGCAATGATATGAGTGCTGTGGTGTAAGCAAAAACAGACTCCTGCCTAATTAAAACAGTTTCCTATGTTAAAGAAATAAACAGCTTTTTAATGAAGCCTGAAAAGCAAGAATATAAATAAACCCCTAATCTAATGTACAGAAATTGACAATGATCAAATATATAATTATGATGGACAGTCATAGGATATAATAGTGTAGACCAGGTTATACTAGACATCAGTTAACCCTGAAATTTCTATGGTGTAAAGAAAGGTTTCTCTTACTCAAGCTGCATGTCTAGTTGAGTTCAGTTGAGAAAGGTGAGTGTTCTCACCACACTACACTCAGTTGCCCCAGTGATGACCACCAGGTAACTGTGCTTTTTATCAGGCACTTTCCCAATCACCACAACAGGGAAGGTATTGGAGAATTTGAAAGGGATTTCTAACTGCCTCGGCCACACTGGCTCACATTTCATTGTCAACTCCAGCTGCATGATCCTATGCAACTGCATGGGAACTGGGACCAATAAGAGAGAGGAAGGTAAGCCTTTTAGTTCCTAACTCAAGTTCTTGTGCTGAAAGCATGGAGAATCACTTATTGATCACTCATCTTCATTTGAGAGTGAAGCAGTCCCAAAGAAAACTTTTGGTTGCTGTGATGTCACCATCATGATTTTAACTTTTGACACTTGTGTACAAGTAACTTTCTCAACTTATAGTTTCTTTGAACTCATTTAGTTCAAATAGTAAATGTAATAAAATCAAACATGCAGAATCTAGAAATTAGATAAGACTACCTGAATTTAAATTCTGACCCACATCTTCCGGGTTTTTTGATGTTGGGGAAATTTTCTAATTTCTATATGCCTCAGTGGCGCCACCTGTAAATGGGGATGCTGATAGCACCAAACCCACTGACATGTAATGATCAACTATATTTAGATGTAAAGCAATTAGAATAGTGCTAGATACATTGTAAGAATTTAGTAAATGTAACCTATTATATTTGTATAACCATAAATTCTCTACCATATTTTAAACACCACTGATATGAAGGTGTGTTCAAGTCACCAGAGATGCCAATACAGTCAAGGTAGATTACACCTCATATGCACAAAGTTTGCAACCAAGATTTTTCTTTAAAAAGGCAGCATAAAGTAGGATGAATGCTATTTTAGAGAAATAGAAAAATATGGCAAGTCGGATGGAGTGAACCTGCTTGAGTCTCTTCCTTTATCCTTGATTTGGGACAGGTGTTACCTTTTGGGCAGCATTGTTATGATTAAATGAGATCTTTATGGATGCAACTCCAAAGGCAGATGACAGTAGGTGAAAGTTGATCTGATTGTATGTGTGAGTGCAAGCTGAAGCTTCCAGGCGGTGGTAACAGTAAAATACAGACAGTGGGGAGAATGTTAGTTAATAATAGTTTGGAGTATCATGAACCCAACAAGAACCGTTACCAATTTCACACACCTGAACTCTTACTCATGTAATGTTTAACCTTTTAAAGTCATTTTCATTAAAACAAAATGAAAATTCAAAAATTATTTGTAGAATAATCATGTTTATTTATTAAAATGATCCAGTTGGAGTACTTGAGACAAATGCTCTTCCATTCCATTTTGCCATTATTCCCTCGTCTCCAAATGGAGACATCCTCCAGGAGAACCAGACCATGGGGAGTTTGGTCTTGGGAATCCAATGTGTTAGCCTCTCACAACTTTTCTATGTGGTGTTAGCATAACTAGTTTGTGTCTCCATTGGGAATACAAAGGAGTTTTACAATGAATTCTCTCATGCGTCTTTTGAGATGTGTTTTTTGAGCTACAAGACTTTATGACATTCTAAATCATTCTAGAAATTCGTTTGCATTGGAGACCTGATTTTAAGTAGCAGATTTCATCCATTTCTAGATTCGAAGACTTTATTTCTGAAAGCATTTATAATTGATTCTGATTTTTTTACCCTAATTTTCCTAGGGGGCGCCTATTTCGAAAGGTGAAAAGGGTGATAAAGTAAGTATGTGCTTTATCATTATCTTGGGTTTTCTACTTCATTAATTTCTTTCTCCCTGATTTCTAATTTGTTTACTTTAGATCCAATAGATTTGATAAATACAAGCCATCTGAGCATTCTGCTTTATCTTGTGGAACTTTTGACTCTTTTATTGTGATACATTAAAAATATTAAACCTTGTTAGAGTACAATCATGTGATGACCATCACATTTGTTTTAACATATTTATTATTGATTGAGCATAGAAGCCATGAAAGGCATGTACTTAGGATAGGTAGGATAAAAAATTAAACTAGAAGACAAAGTATTTAAAAAAATTTTTAACTGACCCAAGTTTCATTGAGCAAATATGGATAAGTCAGGAAAATAAGAAAAGCGAATTTGTGATAGCCAATATTGTCTTCCTCTGTATATTCTTTTCTCTTTTTAGTAAGTACATATACCTAATAGTAGAATCAATAACAAATATCACCTTAAATTTTACTCTCCATCGCACTTCAATGTATAATTTGTAAAGATTTATATGTTTATTTGAAAGGTAAAGTTAGGAACAGAGAGAATGGGGGAAGGAGATTTATCTTCCACCTACTGGTTTCACTCTTGGAATGGTTACAGTGGCCAGGGCTGGGCCAGGCAGAAGCTAGGAGTCCAGAGCATCATCTGAGTTCGTGCTCCCAGGTATTTGAGCCACCTTCCACTGCTTTCTCAGGCACGTTAGCAAGGAGCTGGTTTGGAAATAGAGCAGCTGGGACTCTAGCAAGTGCTCATATATGATACTGGTATCACAGGTGCAGCTGAACCCATTGTACTATGACAGTGGCTCCTCAACTGCTAGTTTTAATTCTCTCTGATATGAAATTATTTGGTAGAAAATCACAGCATTTTCAGTTAAATGGAGAACTCAGTGACTGCTAACAGAACATTATGTTAAAAATGAAGGGAAATACTGTTTTAACTAAGAAGTATTTGAATCATGTCATACAGTGAACCCCTCTTGCTTTCATCCTGTCTTATATAATCACCCCTTTTATTGTGCGTTCCTTACTGGAAATCCAATTAAAGTGTCGAAGATGTTTATCTGAGTTAATAAGTACCCATGTGGTGATTATTTTATTTGCAGGGAGAACCTGGGTTAGTTGGATCACAGGGAATGAAGGTAATCTGGCATTCTTGAAATTTATTTCTAACATTAATGAGATTATGAATATGATGCTAACCTTTAACTTTCTTTCCCACTTTTGTGTTTAGGGAGAACCTGGAGATCCTGGCCCCCCCGGTTTAATAGGCAGCCCAGGACTAAAGGTATGTAAGAAATAACTAAGGTACACCAGATATAATGTGGAAACCATAGTCATTCTGTGTAAAACAAGATACTTTGATGTGCCTCTCGTTTTCTTCATGAGTTCTCTCAGAACAGTTTTCCTGTTTCCATGGTGATTTCCCCCCACTGGCTACATTTATTATACACATACTGGCTGTGCCATTTTGGTTCACAATAGCATTTTTAAACTCTGTTTCAGAGCATATTCACAAAAGCATCCCTGAAAGCTCTGAGAGTAAACAATATGAGCTAAATCAATGTCCCCAAGCTGTACTGTTAAGAGGAATTCAGTTTCTGAACCAAAATTATACAGCCCTGTGATGCTGGAGTTTCCCGAGTGAGGTTCTTCAGGAGTGGGTCATAAAAAACAGCAGCTTTGGAAAGGAATAGGAGAGATTAATGGAATGCATTCCTGGCCAGTGGGTAAGCTTGTTGTCCAGGTTTCACCTGCTGGTGAGAACAAGCCAATTAAATGAGAACATCTAGAAACTATCTTGGTAAAGCCTAAATTTTACATTTCAGCACTATCCAGAGAACGTGGAACACTAGGTAGTTTATTTTCTATAGATAAATGTCACATGATGTTTTAAAAATAGTAAAGCATAGTGTCTCTTTTTTTAATAACAAAGTAATAACACATATCACCTTCTATTTTAGGGTCAGCATGGACCGGCAGGTGCTATGGGGCCCAGAGGACCACCGGGAGATGTTGTAAGTATTGTGTCTTTGATGTTTTGAATTGAAATAGAAACTAAGACATGTTTTAAACATCGTCAGAACCTGTTCGTAATAATTCAGTTATGCTCCATTTTCCAAAGACATGGCTCATTTCCATCACTAAAATCATACCTAACGTCAGGGCTGTGATGGGAAAGGCTAATCCCTTCATGTATTTGTGTGAAGTCCTTTTGAGTATTATTGTACATTTATCTTTGGAACACAAATAAACTGCATTGTCATTTTGGACATGCTTGTCACTAGTGTAGCAAAAATAGAGGAGATTGGAAACATCAAAACAAATAAAGAAAACCAAAAGAGAAAGCAAGTGTTTTTGCATGGCTTTCTGTTCAAGAAAATACTCTCAAAGTGTATACTGTCTCCTAGCAAGTGCCATATAAAAAGCAAATTTTTGGTTCAAAGTATTCCTCTAAGACATTAAGAAGGAAATCTGGCTGCATCTCCCTCTCTCCCTCCCTCCCTCCGTCCCTCCCTCTCCTTGTCTTCCTCACTCCCCTGCTCTCTATGTAACACACACACCCTGTTTTAATGTACTCTCTTACTTGTTTGTCCAGAACAGCTTTCTGTCCCTTGTATACAACCCTCCTGCATTTTGCAGAGTTGGGTGCTAAAAGCCATCAGTCCGCATGTAAACAAAAAATAAGGAAAATGGTTGGTTGTGACTTCTTGGAGACTAGTTAATGCTCAATTCTCGAGGGAGCTATTGGTCTGTATAAATATACTTCACAGTAGTTTGAGCAATTAGTTCACAAAGAAAAGCCCTTTATTCCTCCAATTAATATTCTGTACACCTAGTGAAGAAATCTTACAGAAAGAGAAAAATGCTGGTGACATAAGTAGAACCTCAAGATTCCTAAGAAACGAAATTTATTTATAAGAGCCAGAATAAAGACAGAATTAAAGCAAAAGGAATGGAGACACTATTTCCAGAAACATAAAAATATATTCTCCTAGTTACCCATTACCATGACTCATGGTATGATCTTACCAACTGTCAACTTTCCACTCCCTAATGCGATACCATGGATGGGACATTTAATTCAATTCTTTATTTAGTGCTTTTTAATTTGGATCCAAATAATTTCACTTGAAATAAGAAGCGATGTATTTTCAATAATGCTTCCCCCTACCTAACAGAACAACCACCACCCACCCCGTTCTAGACTATATGTTGAAATTCTGGATTCTTGATAAATATTCACAGATAGAAATGTTATTATAAATAGAAGCATTATATCATTGTTTTACCTTTGCCTATGAATTTTCCAGGGCCTGCCAGGAGAACACGGCATCCCAGGAAAACAAGGCGTTAAAGGAGAAAAGGTATCATTTTTATTCATTTTGTATTTTAGGTGGTCAGGTAAGGGGAAGAGACAGGTTTCCTAAGGGCATGTGGGAAGGTAAAAGACAGTACCAGCTTCAAGGGTTACACCAAGGACAGGGAGTCATCTATGATGTGAGCAGTATCTTCTGGAGTTGTGCACTGTGACAGCCCTATTTCTAACATGGAACCACTGAGTAGCAAGATAAACTAATTCAGAGATAACGTTAGACCTCATACAGTCTATTGTGGGCTCAACTCTCAGTTTAGCATAGACTGAAGAAATCCCTTAATCTTGCATGAACTATTGCTTGATATCTACATAGAAATAATATTTTTGAGTAATTGGAGAATAACAGTAAAAGCTGCATAGATTATCCCAAGAACTTTATGAACAGATATTTCTTCTGTTCATGTCCTTAGGCATATGCATATATTTTGTGATACTGCTACACTTAGTATAACATAACTTACTAGAACAATGTTAATTCACTTAAGAAAATTAGAATAATACCTAAACGCAGGGATTAAACCCAAGGCTCGTGTTGCTGGTTAGGATGCCCACAACCACATAGAGTAAGTACCTGGCTCAGGCCCTGGCTCTTGGCTCCAGCTTCCTACATATGCACACACGAGAGGGGAGGATGTAATAGAAAGTCAAATAATTAGTTTCTTACTATCCACATGAGGGTGAGTTCTGGCTCTCCAGTTGGGCCTGGCCATTGTGGGAGAATGAGCCAGTCAACGAGAGCTGGCTCATGCTGTGTGCTCTCTTTCCTTCTTTCTCTATCACTCAAAAGACTAATTTTTTAGTAATACAGTGCCTCGCACATGAACACTCATTAAAATTATTAATTAATGGAGGGAAGAAATGAACAAATGAGTCAAGTTTGACTGGCTATGACAACTTAAAACAGGGAGAGCCATTTCCCACCTTGAAACTGCACAGGGAAGTAGTGGTCTCACCTTGGTTTTTTATTTTGTTTTACAGGGAGATCCTGGTGGAATCGTAGGCCCTCCTGGACTTCCAGGTCCAAAAGGTGAAGCTGGACCTCCAGGGGAAAGCCTGCCAGGTGAACCAGTAAGTGCCAACTATTTTATAACCACTCTGCATGGAAATTCATTCATTACAATTGTCCGTTCTCTGTTTCAGAGCACAGGTGCAGGAATAAATTTAAATCTGCAAAACAAGAAATGTCTATTTTGTTCTTTAGGTCAGATAGAACTATTTGAAAATTGTCATCAGTAAGGTATCTCGTCTTAAGAAAATATTCATGCATACATTTTGCATATCACTTTGGAAGCACATAGGTCCATTGAACCTGGTCAGTGATTCCTCAGAGATCTGTGGGCCCTACTAGTAAAGTATCCCAGTTATAAACCATAACCCTTCCTAGAATGCTATCTGAAGACAGAACTCCTGCCAATAATGTGCCATGGTGAGTTATACCACCACGTGCAGCACCAGCATCCCACATGGGCACTGGTTCCAATCTAGTTCACTGTTAATGTGCCTGGAAAATCAATGGAAGACATCCCAAGTGCTAGGGCCCCTGCCAGTGGCATGAGAGACCTGGAAGGAGCTCAAGACTCCTGGCTCAACCTGGTCCAGTCCGAGATGTTACAGCCATTCGTGGATGAAACCAACAGATGAAATCCATCAATCTCCTCTGCTCTGGTTCTCCTTCCTTGTAATTTACGTTTAAAATAAAGAATTTTTTAAAAAATACATTATCTGGAGTGTGTTTTGAAAAGGTTTGCAGATAACAGTGTAAGTTGTCATTTGCCAAGGACTTGTTATCTGGACTATTGTAGAAACAGAGAAAACTGCATTGTAAGAAAATTCTAAATAATCAATGTGCCTCTATCCATTCATTGCGTTTTTGTCTCATATCCTTTTAAAAATGCTCTATACTAAAAGTTATTAATAATAGTTCTCAATATTAAAAGCCTTGTTTTATTGGTTTAGAATCTCCTGTATTTAAAAGTGATTATATAAAATATGAACCCTATTAGATATGTTCCAAGTTCCTTATCTCCTAAATAAAAAAGGTTTTTCAAGCAAAATAAGGCAATAAGATATATTTTTCAATTATAACTTCTAAGATGTTATTAGCCTTCACAGAAAAAGCAATGCATTCACATTGTTTTTAATTCATTTTAGGGATTAGATGGAAAACCAGGAGCACCTGGTCCACGAGGGCCAAAGGTATGTATATATCATACTTAATTTTAAAAATAATTAACTGAATATAGTAGAAATGGTCTTGTTACTTAAACCTTGTCATAACAGAAGCATCTCGTTTCTCAGGGTGAAAGGGGGCTGCCAGGCGTCCATGGTTCACCAGGGGAAATAGGCCCACCAGGAGTAGGAATTCCAGGCCGAGTCGTAAGTGTAATTCAGTTATGCTCTTACAACCTTATTTATTCATTATGACACAAAATTCAGTGACAGATTTTATGAAACAAAAAAAAAAAGAAAAGAAAAAAAAGTCAGGGAAGACAAATAAATATAGCCTATATAGAGATGACTGATGGGATTATGATTGCGTTACTAAACATTGTCTGACTCCCATGTGCTGGTCACAGATGCACTGGCTTTGGACTAGAAGCAGTCAGTTTAATCCCTTCTATTTGACAGATTGATAAACCCAGTGCATGTTTGCAACATGATAAGATACTATGTTTGGTATCAGGAATGTCCACATTATTGATTGTTTGTTAATTAAAATATGGCAAAAGGTTAATATTTAAAGTAACTATTTCCAAATATGAAGTAATGATAAGCACACGGAAAAACTGACTACCTCGATTTGATCAATGTGCATGGTGTGCCACCACATCTCATCAATATGAACAATTTTAAAACAAATTAACAATTGAAAATAAAGTAGTTGGAGTAAGTATAAATGAAATGATCCCAACAACCTATCTGTGGTATCTTTAACAAGAATAGATATTTTAATAGTTGAACCAAATAAAAGCTTTTTAATATAGATTTTAGCTATAAGACAAAATCTAAAAAGTTTCAGGTAATAATTTAGTGTATACATACTTTCGGATTAAATAATCAGAGATGAAACTTTATTTTGTAAAAAAATAGATTTTGAAAAGAGAGATCCAAAAATCAAGTTATTTTAAAGACATTGATTTAGAAAGTCAGCCTGTTCACTCAGAAAAAAAGTGATTTTTTTTTTCCCTCCTATGTTCTTAGCACGCCACACAATACTTCACTTTTGACACAAAATGTGTGGGTAACTTTTTCGGTATACATTTGTTCTCTAGCAGATACAACTAGGTGTCAATTCAATTCTGACCCTATCTACCTGGAGATGGTGTCATATTTACAGGTTAAGGACTCAGTCCTGTAGACTGACCCCTATTTCAGACACCAGTCACAAATCCAGCCCTCCAGAATTCTGATCAAAAAGCTGTAAACCGAGCGTTCCTGTGTAAATTCGTTATTCAGTGATTCATGATATGTAATGGAGATAGGATTAATGCCATTGGGTTCTCTGATCATCTCCTAGCTTCATTTTAGTTATCCCATTATATTTTACAAAAGTAGAAAATTATAACTTCTGAATGTTTTAATTCCTATTCCTGTTCCTGAACACTGCTTCTAACTATTTTTTCAAAGAGAGAAATGCCTCCAGGTAGAAAGAAGAAAACAAAGGATTCCTGAGCCAGCCAGTTACCCATATGGCCAGTGACTTTCTAAACAGATAGAATTTGATTGCATTGTGTGTGCATATGTGACTGTTCAACAGCAGATGATGGAAATGAGAGAGATGTTCCAAGTATCTGATCAAAATTACACTGATGCTTCTAACTGGTGGAATGCTTATTTATCACTACTCAAAAGTGTTGACCAACTTTGCAAAGAGTTTTCAGAGTATGCATGTTTGCAAAATTTGTTTCACTACTAGGTACTTAATTTTTCATTCCATTTGAATTAGTTATGGACATTAAAGATGGAATTCTGATTATTCAATCTCATTTTACTCAGGGCTCCCAAGGACCAGTTGGAGAACCAGGTATCCAGGTAAGCTACCAAACTTATTTAGCTCAACAAATGCAGCTTGTAGACTTAGAGGAAATTATCCACTGAAAGACTGTTGTACAAGTTTCTCTTTTTATTTTCCTAATTTTCCAGGGTCCTCGAGGTCTCCCTGGATTGCCAGGAACTCCAGGGACACCAGGAAATGATGTAAGGTCTTTTTATCTACTTATGCCACTGCTCCCATTTTAATCTGCACCTGTTTAAACTTGCAAAGATTTCAACCTGATCCCTCTGTTTTCAGGGAGCACCAGGGAGGGATGGAAAACCAGGCCTGCCAGGCCCCCCAGGTGACCCTGTATGTAAACAGACTTTACCTGATTTATGTATGTTTAATGCACCCATGAACTACATAGCCTACCAAGCAAGTTTTGCTGTCCAAACTAATTAGAATGCTCAGTGACTGCTTGGTGGTTTTGTTTATTCCCACTCTTTTGTGGAGAGAAAAATTCAAGCTGGGTCAGCACTTTTGTGCATGTGATGAATACTTATTTCCTAAGGGTATAATTCAACTGTACAATTTTGTCCCAAGCCGAGCCTTAGCATATAATGTCTCAATCCCATGGAAAATTGAGATAAAATATATTGCCACAATTTCCATTTTGTCTAACATTGGTGACTAAAGCAATTGCATTCTTCTAAATGAGAGTTTGCAGATAAGTTACCTACAGTATGGTACCTATGCATTCATTCTGTTGCTTTAAAATACTAATATGATTAATATATAAAAACTGGCTCAAATAGACTTTCAAGAAAAAAGAAGGGGTTTAGGCATTAAATGTATGTTCCACCATTTTATTTTAGATTAGACCTTTCTTTGAGCAACATTGAAATCCATTTAAATTGTCTCACAGTTGGCAATTACAGTTTGAAAGAGCATATGGTACATGACATTATATTAAGAGTTTTGTAAATTAACTTCCCAATCTGGCCTCTCAGTTCAAAACATCGCAAATTCTTTCTGCCTCCCGTGCTGTTCAGGCCTTATGTGACATGATAAGCTGTGTGCAGAGAATATTTTGGCCTAACTCCACCACCAAGTAAATCATGTGTGCATCATCTGGGATTTTTATAAAATGTTACTTGGGTTAACTGAATGTTTCCATGCAAGGACTTTTTAAGACACATGGCAACCATGACCCAGGCTCCTTCAGTGTCTGCATTATCTCCATCACCTGAACCACCTTTAAGCTCTTTTGATCTTGTGAAAGAAATAACTTTAAAGCAAACTCACCCCTGTACTTTTCATTTTTCTCAAGTGCCTGATAATGTGCTTAGAAAGGAGTGATTTCCTTAGAGTAAATAATTCATCTCTGTGTATTATTTAAAGCCAATAATGTACTAAGCATAGAATGAAAAGTTACCATGAAAATATAAAAATGCAAAATCCAAACAAGGGTCTGTGTGCATTTGCATGTTCTCAGAAGAATGTGAATATTTCTGACACACTTCAGAAGAAGATGAAGTATTTCTGGAAAGTAACTGAATTCTCATAGTACCATGTGTGGATTTTGATGTGACAATGAATCTGTCAGTGACGCCCTGGGATGCCCTGTATGCCAAATCTCAAATGGCATAGCATTTTCAAGAAAAATAACTATGTCCTATTGTATGTTTTCATTGTGTCATTTTGCTTTATGTGTAAGTCCATCTATTTTTTCTTCTTAACTGCAGATTGCACTTCCTCTCTTGGGAGACATTGGTGCCTTGCTCAAGGTACTGTATTGTCTGTAAGAAATTATGTGTTAATTTCCAGGATAAAAATCAGAAAGTCAGTCTTTGCCAGATGTTGGACTCAATCCTTTATGTTGAACTAGATCTTATTTTTAAATGGCAAGATATGAAAAAAGGTATATGAACATTCAAATTTCTTGTTCCATTGTTACTAATCCCACCTTCTTTGCTATGTCCGACCGCCTTTCCTTTGGGCTGTGCAATCAGGGATGGTAGTTCCTAAAGGAACCAGAGACAGAACTATGTCACAAATGCCTGGCCTGGCTAAGCAACTTTCTCTTAATGAATGCGTACTCACCCTGGCTCACTACTGCAAAATATGATTCTTATTCTATCTGCTCTGGTCTATCTTTGGATAATAACCAGTACTGCTCCATAAAGCCTAATTTACAGGGCAAATTTTGATGTGACAAGAGCCAAAAAAAAAATGCCCTAAAACCTGTTAGTCCACTAAATAAAAATTACCTCTTTGGAGAAGTCATTGGATACAGTGTTAAAGCCACCACTTCAGATGTTTTTGTACCAAGTCAGAGTTCCTATAGTTGAGTTCTGCCACTACCTCTCTTCTTAAAAATACACACATACATACGTACATACATGAAAGGCAGAGTTAGAGGGGTAGGGAGGCGAGAAGTAGGATCTTCCATCCTTTGTTTCACCTCCAAGTGGCTGCAACACTCAGGGCTGGGCCAGAGAGAAGCTAGGGACCTGGAATTTCCTCTTGGTTTCCCATGTCGGTAGCAGAGGCCCAGACACTTGGACCGTCTTTCATTGCTTTCCCAAGTGCATTAGTGAAAAGCTGAATCAGAAGTATAGCAGTTGGAACTTATACCAGAGTTCACATTGGATACGGGGTGTTGGATGTAGGCTGCGACTCAACCTACCGCACCAGAATGCCAGCAGCCCAGTTCTGCTTCTGATCCAGCTTTTCTACTAGTGACCCAGCAGATGATGTTCAAGTGCTACATCCCTACCACACATGAAGGAAATGTGGGAGCAACTCCACATTCCTGGCTTCTGCCTGGCCCAGCCCTGGTTATTAAGGGGCTTGGGCATGGGGAAATAGACCAGTGGTTGCAGGCTTGTTCTCTCTTTTGTCTCTCTGTCTCTCTCTCCCTGCTGCCCTCCACCTTTTCAAATACATTGATTATTATTTACAACTTTAGTCTATACTCCTGAGGAGTAGTATGGATTTTCAAAGTATGTCAGTGTAAAAATTAGAAAAATGAGAAAAAAGGAGAATAGGTAGGAATACAGACAGGAGAGGAGGGAAGGGTGAGAAGTGGCATCATGCTTCTAAATTTGCTTTGTGAAATGTGTGAAATTTGTTCACTTTATATAAACAAATAAATATGGAAAAGCATCCCTACTTCTCATCTATGGCGTGCAACATTAATCCTGTCTATATCTGTATCTGATATTTCCCTATATTTTGTTTGTAAAGGAGTTGGGGAAGAACTGATACTGGGATATCTGTGAAGTTATGAACATTCTTTGTGTGGCATTTGAAGACTGAGCAACCCAGTACTTACACTTTATGTGTTTTATCTGTTTATGAGTGGACAGGTACATGTGCAAAGCACCTTAAACTATAGTTATGTATATGTTTTTTAAATTTTATTCCTAGTGTTTTGTCCAAGGATATGCACAGCACACAGCAGGAAGGATGTAGAAATACATGTTGAGTTGAATTAAGAAATTCAAAAGTTCTAGTCTGTGTGTTTGTGGGTGATTAGAGTTCTGAGAAAAGATAATTAATGTAAATGTGAGTGTAAGTGTAAAAATATAAGTATTTAAAAGACCTTCAAATGGCTCATTTTTTCCCAAGCTAGAAAAGAATATCTGTAGGATCCCCAGGAAGATTTAGTTGTTGAACTACAATTACTTCACATAAGACGTAAGTAATTCACCTCATTTAATCTTCATGATATTCCATTCTCATTCCATAGATGAGAGATGTAGAGTTCTCCCATATTTGATAAGTGTAACATTAATATAGCACAAAACAGATATTAAGTCCTGGGTTATTCACAAGGTCAATTCTTTGAAAATTGCAGCACTGAAGGAATCATATCATCCAGTATAGTTATTGTTCTTTAGATCCAAAATTTACACAATTTAGCTGAAATAGATATCATGATAAAATATGAGATGGCTCAGAGAACAGGATAAGAAACATGGATAAGCTTTGACAAGAAAAGGAAGAGCTCCAGGGGCACACAGAATGGAAGTCCTGACATGTCATCAAGTACTCTGTTCTTGTTAGTCTCAGCATCAACTTGCTGAGGATCTGAATCCTAAGAGAGCCAGTTAGTGAGAATCACTTAAAACACCTTGACTGATGGGTATGGAAAAACCATACTTGAGGGAGAGCGTGCAGCTTCCCAAAACAAATATATATGTATATATATATACATATATATATGAAAGATTTGCATTATGGATTATTCTGTCAGCCCAAAGCTAAAATTTTTAAACTGAATCCCCAACCTGTTACCCTACATATAGAGCACCCCTCTGCCTTAAGTCATTCACCAGTTTGTCATCCTTTTTCTGTTAACAAAAAAAAAAAAACCTGATTTATGTAAAGGGAACAGATTTTATGTATTTAGTAGGTAACATTTAAGAGCATAACGATACTTCCCAACCTACCTTCTTTCCTGGCCCTCTTCACTCTTACCCTCCCTAGTCCCTACTGTCTTATTTTTTTATTTTAATTTTTATAATTTTATACTTTCAGTTTAGTTTATAATCACAGGTTTAATCCTCCACTGAATAAAAAACTCAACAAGGAATAAATAGAAAAAGTAACACTCCTTGAGAGTATAGACAAGGGCTGTAAAAATAATCAAATATCAAAATGTCAATTTCACTCATATATATCATATTTTTTACTTTGCATATTGGTTACTTGAAACCAGAGAAAATGTGATATTTGTCTTTTGGAGACTAGCTTATTTCACTAGCATAATGGTCTCAAATTGCATGTATTTTATGGAAAGTAGTATTCCATTGTGTTTATATTTCAGTTTCTTTATCTAGTCATCAGTATGGAAATTCCTTGGAAATCAAATACCTTCTTCTAGGTTAATCTGTGTTTCAAATCCCCTTTAAATGAGATGATGAGTCAGCTAACAATTGATATATTTTTTTATTTCCATCAGGTAATCTGGACTCCCCCTTTCTACCTCCCCCAAGAACCATATTGAAATCTAGCTTCTTTTAATTTACCTCTAATAAACTTGACTTAAATTAGTCTAGTGCCAAGATTCTTGGAAAATTCTATTGATGAATAATAACAACTTACTATTTTTTTAGTAAAATCATCAAATGAAAAATTCCAAAATATTGTGGTGTATTGATCTGCCAATGTGTTGCTCTATATTGTGTACCATGTTTGTGTATCTATATGTATCTTTCACACTTTTTGTGGATCTGGATGGACATCTTTGTGATTCTGCTAAATGCTCAGGCAATTCTCTAACTTCATTGTTTTCAGAGATTATCACTGATGGTTCTGTAATTATATATGTACTTTAACCCTCTTACCAACATGTTACCTTGTAAAATTATCCTGGTAGTAAATATAGTTTGGGAGAGTGCATGTTATTCCAGTTCCATTTCATATAGTCAAGCTCTAAGGAGGACTATCATGAAAAGAACTGTTTAACCCAACATTTTTGAGACAACATGCCTCAGAACCTTTTCAAAACACAAAACTGTCTTCCAACAAGCACTGTTTTAGAAATCAGACTTGCATTTATATTCACTACATCAAAGATATTGATTAACCATGGGCTTTCTGTTCAACTTCTCATGAATGACATTTGTAATAGTACCATATCAAGATTAAAGATTCTTTTCTCTGGTGAAAAGGATAGAAGAGAGGTTTCTGTTGTCTTCTGTGAGTGGTTAAACTATTCTCCTCCCTAACCCCCATCATTGGTCCTTATTTCCACGACATTCTGGTGATGTTTTTATTCCAAAAATATATTTTTAAATGAACCTTTAGAATTTGGTATTGTGGCATATCACACCACTACCTTCATTGCCAGCCTCCCATATAGATGCCAGTTAGAAGCCCGGTTGCTCCACTTCTGACCCAGCTCCCTGCTAATATACTGGGAAGGCAACAGAAGGCAGTCCAAGTGCTTGGGCCCCTGTATCCATATGGAGACCCAGATGAAGCTCCTGAATATAGGCTTCTGTCTGGCCCAGAGCTGGCCATTTTAGCCATTTGGAAAGTGGATCAGCAGAAGAAAGACCTCTCTGTCTGTCTCTCTTCCTCTTCCTGTCCTTTTCCTTGTCCCTCTTCCACTCCTTCTCCTCTAACTCTGCTGTTCAACATAAGTAAATCATTTTAAATGAACCTTTATAGAACTTTTAATGGACACTTTTTCCTTTAGCTCTATGATAGGACGTGTTTATCTCATGAGCTCAGATACTTGAATTCAAGTCATTCTAGATCAGAATAGGTTATAGGTTATAGAGAAGGCAAGGGAAGTGTAATTCCACTTAGATTTCTTATCTTCACTTGGGCTTGACAGAGGAGTTAAGTCCAAGTCATTCACGTAATTATTTCTAACATTTCTGCCTTCATTGACAAGTAAAATGTTAGCAAACTGCATGATAGCTTTACAATTGATTTTGTTTCCCAAAGGGGAAATAATTCCTTCATATTGTTTCTTTCTTTGTCTTTCAGCAGTTCATCATATTGGTTGTACACATTCTGTAATCTTGCTGGCTATTCCAAAATGTTATTCCTACCTCTCATTTTAAACATGTAGCTAAGCATTTGAAAATGTGTGTATATACATGTCTTTATTTATTTGCAATTTTAAATTATGCATCATCAGACTTTTAAAAAACAAACCTCACCCTTATCATAAATGTTGTAGGTTAGCCTTCTAAAAAAATTTGACTTGACATGGAGTAATCTCAAATCAGCTGAATTCCTGAAAACACAGTTAAGTTAGATATTTTTGCATAACTCTTCTCTGACAAAAGCTAAAATAGAACTTCGCATCAGATCCGACGTCATTCCTACAGATGTCTTTACAAATCTGCCAATAACCTTTTGTTTGACTCCTCAGAACTTCTGTGGTAACTGCCAAGCCAACGGCCCTGGGCTGAAAAGCAGCACAGGAGAAGAAGGGGGCGCTGGCGAGCCTGGGAAGTACAATTCCATGGCCCGTAAGGTAAGAAGGCCAGCAACACGCTCAAAGACCTGCTGCACACACAAGTGCACTGTCTGGATTCTTACTCCCATTTCCTCCAGGGTGACATAGGACCACGGGGCCCTCCAGGAATCCCAGGCAGAGAGGGACCCAAGGTAAGTTAGTCCCTCCCTCCTCTGTGGGACTACCCAGGGTGGGAAAAAAAAAAAAAAGGAAAAGCCTCACTTTGCCATATACTGCTTTTTATATTTAGGGGGAACATGGGGTAAGGGACACCTGCAAATGTCATTACTTTGTTCCCTGACCTGTCCAACCTAAGTATCCCAAGCATCCCACAGGATATTGGTTTAATTGTTCTGATAGTTAATGGCGCTATTGAGTGTACTAGCTGATTATATTATGTTTTTAGGGAAGCAAAGGAGAGCGGGGCTACCCTGGAATACCTGGGGAGAAAGGCGATGAGGTAAAGGTTCTTTTCTGTTAAGTCCTACTGTTGGTTCTGCTTACTTGACTCACCACAAGACAGACACCAGTTTCCCCACAGCTCACGCTGAATGCTGAGACCAGTAACACTAGATAGTCCTTTATCAACATTAGTGCGTTTTTAATAATAATACTAATATGGTCACGTCTATTACCAGGTTTTTGAAGAAGGCACAAAGTTAATTATCAATTATGGCTTACCTGCTTTTATGTAGCAGATAATAATTGCAGTTCTCTCAAGATAAATGTGAGGGAGGATTCCTGAAATACATTGAGGGATAGTTAAACAGCCAGCACAGGAATGAGACAACTGCAGAAGTGAGCAGAACTTCCTTGAACACCACAGTAATGAGACACCAACTCCAGGACCTTGATTTTTCTGAATCTGCTGAATTTCCACATTCTTGGGAGAAAATAGACAGAAGCATCTAATTGGCCTATTTAGATCAGCTATTTAGATCAGCATTGATGAAGGCTTTAAGTCAAATGTGTCTTTGAAGCTAATGTTATAATTTTCTGATTCAAAGCCACTGTGATGCTCAAGATATCATTCTTATGCTGTATAATTCACACTAACATTTAGAAAAACCAATTAAAATGATGAATTGTTGTTAGTTTAAGTAGTTTGCTACTAATAGATCTTAATGAAAGAAAGCCATCTGGCATGTATTGTTAACCTTCATATAGTGCTGAAAATCATAATGGTAGAAAATAAGACACATTCCTCTAGTTGGAGTTATATTTCACCTTGCAAATTATCATTACATATTATTGTTTCTAGTTAATAGGAATCCTATACTGAAAAAAAAAAAAAAACTCTGAGGCTTGGTTCCATGTCCAAAGTGACATTTGTACTATCCACAAATAAAATAATAAAGGCATCTTATTTTCAGAATAAGTAAGAATTAATGAGCATTGTTTCTTCAAGTTCCATAGGTTCCACTGAAGTACCAGCAGAATAGCTGGATTTCATAGTGCAACAGCTTTTAGCTGCCCCGGTTGACAAGGCAAGCTTTAGAGGCAATTGAGAAGATAATAACAAAAGATCAGGAAATAATTGGAATTCAGGTTTTTTGTAAGTGACTTGAAGTTAAATTCACTGGAAGTAAAATTTTATTGGGTTTTGCCAGTACTTAGTTCTCCTGAAGAACTGAAATCCCTTAATACCTCCCCACTATTTTAGTGTGCTTGCTCTTAGGTATACCTGATAGATTGACAGGGAGCAGACAACATTTTTTTTGAAGACTTACTACATGGAGATATTACAACTAATTCAGTTGTCTTTCTGTTAAATCTTCACATCGCGAGAGTAATGAGAATAATCCAGAAATAGTCTATTGACTCAGTTGTGTCTTTTGAGAGGAATAGAATAGTGCAGCTTTCATCTCTCAGGTAAATAAAAATTAGTAAATATACTGACTTCTGTTTAGACTCAGATACTATCTGAAATTATGATTTGTTGATTAGCAAAACATTAACTAAGGACATTGGCATTTTCAGTTGGCCAATAAAGTTCATTGTAATGTATGTGTATTACAGTGAATCTTACCCAAAGTCTCAAATGTCTATTCTGCTTAGTGGACAAGATACAGAGAGACAGTCTTTGAAGACATCTAATTTTTACGTCTTCAATCCAACCTAGTAATTTAACAAAAAGATCAGGAAATCATTGCTCTTATGAAAGTAACATTATCTTCTTCAGGGTGTTTTCACAAGTGTTTTTGCACAATTCAGGATAGCAGCTTCATTTTGTCTTGCTTTTTGGCTTTTGGTTTTTATTGATTTTTTAAATTTTCATTTTTCATGATACAGTTCCAGAGGCACAGGGATTTCCCGTCTCACCCTCCCCACTCCTGCACCCCTCACACACCATTTTGCCCCATATTATTACAATCATATAGTCCTTCATCAACAGTCAACTTGTAAAATGCTGATAGAATCCAATCCTTCTATAATATTTCAGAATAATGGTTGATAAGTAGGATATGAAAAAATATTGTTAGCACTAAATTATAGCCACAGCAAAGTAAATATTCCTAGCAAACCAAGTAGGACTTAAGAAATATCCAAGCAGGGAAGGAAATTGGCTCTAGTGATCTCTGAATATTTATGCAATAAGTTTTCATTTGTATTTTAGTTTGGCATTCTATGCTAAATTGACTGTCCACTTTAATATGTATTTGTCTTCTTTAATGACCATCTTGTCTTCTAAAATTATCTTACTGCCCTTTATGTACCCAGAGTAACTTTTATCCTTACTGCAAAATTTTAGTTTGTTCATAGAAAGGCTGCCCAGAAATTTTTTTTAATTTATGAACTGTTGTTTATATTAAAGTTTAATGTGGTCATCAAAGGTTAATGAGTCCCAAGCGTATAAATTATGTTACCTAGCAACTCACTCAGCATCTCTAGACTGATTCAGAGTTAAGACTTAACATAGCAAAAAGGGGATTCTCTCTCTCTCTTTCTCCCTCTATATACACACATATGCATATATATGCAAATCTTATATGCATACATATGGAACAATTCTATATATGCATATATATGCAAATCATATACTTACATGTGGAATAAGTTTTATGGAAAAATATATTTTTGAGATAAAGAAACATATAGTATAATATGTTATAATATATAATTTCTAGCCATTTAAATTTCCATTATTACAGGAAATTTTTTTTCCTCACCGTTTATAAATGTGCAAGCACATTAATGACAGATTAATAAGAAATGACAACATTCTGATGTATATGGTTCACACAAGCACTCAAGCATGTATACACAAACACACAGCATTGCCAATGAGATTGATGTAATTTTGAAGAAACAACATGCTCACATACTTTAACACAAGATTTTAGCAAAAAAAAAAACTTGCTAGATGAGGAATTTTAGAATGTGCAAGATGATTCTTAGGTGTATTTACTCACATAATGTAAAGAAAAAGCTTGAAGTCATAAGTAATTCCATTTGGCAGTGGAAGTACAGGCCTGACAGAGTGTAGTTCTTGAGCCTATTAGGGCAATGAACCATGATCAAGCCCTTGACCCCAAAGAACTCTCATAAGTAAATATGTAGTAATTTTATTATAGTGATTTCACCTGATATTTCTAACATACAATCAACTCCTATCTCAAGAAAGTAATTTTGTTGTAGCAGCAGATGATTTTGTAGTATAAGAAATTGGAAATCACAAAAAAAGTATGAAAAAAATCTGTTATCTTTATTCCCATTGCCCAGGAAGGACTATTGAGAATGTTATTATTATGCACAATTCCATGCCCCCCAAACCTATAAAATACTGGAAATATTCCCTATATTTGAAGTCAGTTCACTTGGTAGGAAAACATGACCTGAGCTCATGTAGAATGGGTCTATTTATCCAGCTCTGTCAGAATATCATGCTTTGCTACAGAAATGTTTGTGTATTTGTTGGTGCTGCTTCAAGCACCATCAGGAGTATTACATAATATTCAGAATGTGCACTGTTACCTTTGTAAGAAAAAATCTGGAATTCTGACACTAAGGACTCCAGATAAAACATTTATCTATTTGTTATAATAAAATAATAAAAATCTTCAGCACTCAAGTTTTTGTAGGAAATACATTGATAGCCGTTTAAAAGTTTAAGCCCTGCATTAGTAATATTTTGACTTTTATTTTTCAATGTTATCCAAGTTTTCTAAAATAGCATTTTAATACTTGAAAATGTTTCATGAATTCTGTGTCATCTGTTTAATGCTGTGTTGTTGGCACCACTTAATAGGGAATAAGATTGATTATAGAAGTTACTGCTTAATCTTGCTGATTCTTCCTTGATATATAAGCATATCAGCTTTTTAAATTCTATCCCATAAAACTGGAATTATTCCATAATTCTATGCAGAAGAAGGCAGGCAAATCTATTTATTTTTTATGGTGAAGCCACTAAAGGGTTCTAAATTTAAAACCACCAATGAGCCTGAGCGACTAAACTAAATATTATGTCATGAAACATATTCCATTTTTCCACTATATGAATGAAGCTGTAGCTTCACTGTATATTTCTGTGATGGCATCCCGCCAGTCTGAGATGTGTATTTCCATGCCCTGGCAGTACAGGGTTCTTAGTATAATGCTGCTACTGATGGCATGGCTCCATAAGAACAGAAATGTTGTATAAATCAGCATATAAATTAAATCAGGTTTGTGATAGATTCGATATAGAGGTATTTAGCTCATAGTGCTTATTCTTTGAATATGGTTATTTGTACAAATCATGATTCTTTTTTTAAGATTCATTTATTTTGGGCCCGGCGCGGTGGCGCAAGTGGTTAAAGGTCCTCGCCTTGCACGCCCGGGATCCCATATGGGCACCGGTTCTAATCCCGGCAGCCCCGCTTCCCTTCCAGCTCCCTGCCTGTGGCCTGGGAAAGCAGTGGAGGACGGCCCAAAGCTTTGGGACCCTGCACCCACGTGGGAGACCCGGAAGAGGCTCCTGGCTTTGGATCGGCATAGTATCGGCCCGTTGCGCTCACTTGGGGAGTGAATCATGGGACGGAAGATCTTCCTCTCTGTCTCTCCTCTCTGTATATCCGCCTTTCCAATGAAAAAATAATAAAAATAAATCTTTAAAAAAAAAAAAGATTCATTTATTTTTATTAGAAAGGCAGATTTACACAGAGAAGAAGAGACAGATCTTCCATCCGTTGGTTCACTCCCCAAGTGGCCACAATGGCCAGAGCTAAGCTGATCAAAACCAGGGACCAAGAGCTTCTTCCAGGTCTCCAACATGGGTACAGGGTCCCAAGGCTTTTGACCATGGTCTATTGCTTTCCCAGGCTACAAGCAGGGAGCTGGATGGGAGGTGGAGCAGCCAGGACATGAACAGGCACCCATATCGGATCCTAGCACTTGCAAGGCAAGGATTTATCCACTAGGCTATTACACAGGACCCCAAATCATGATTCTTGATTAGCTAAAACACATGCTTAAAATTCAATGATCAAGACATTTGATTGACTAAAATAAATGTCTTATTCCCAATGATACAACTTTATAATAACATCTATCTGTCCTAGGGTCTTCAAGGAATTCCCGGCACTCCAGGTGTTCCAGGCCCAACTGGACCCCCTGTAAGTATTTGTTAATACGATTGTGGTCACAGCTAATATCTGCTAGAATGACCCAAAGTGAATTAACATTTCTCATTGCTCTGCTTAGGCTGTGCCTCTGTATGGATTGTCCAGCTGTTGCCTAGAAAGATAGCCTTATCAACAACAAGTATTTTCACTTAGAATTATTTAAGACTTCCAACATCCTGGAAACTTGTCATTTAGGATTCCAGGAGGCAAGAAAGCAATCTGTGATTAAGCTAGTCTATTTGAAATAGAAGCTAGATATAAAAGAACATTCTGCTTTTTACTTATGTTTCTTTAGCCCCAATCTTTGAACAAGACCCTCAGCACAATAAATTGAGAATGTATTTCTTTAGTCAAGGCTTACCCTGTCCCTCCAAGGAGAGAAGCTCCTTTCCCTCAATCCTCCCCTGCCAAGCATCATTTCTTTTTCCATCAGAATCCAATCCTAGGTCACTAGATAATATATACTACACACAATAAAATTCAAATTTCAGATAAATAGCTAATTTTTAATAAAAGTATGTTCCAACATACTATATTTTTATTCGCTAAATCTAGCAATTCAACTCATGCCTTAACTTATCCATCTCTTCCTTTCTTAGAACTTCTGTTCAGAGACTTTACTGCGCAAATGGCAATGCATTCTTATTGCTTGTTTTAAATCATAAATTTTCTATAATAAAAGCTTTATCATTTATGCCTCACCATAGTGTGTAGATAATTTATATGGCTTTAAATTTGAATGTTGTAAGAAAGAGTTGTCATGGAAATCATGGAAATTACAGCTCTCTTCCTAAAGGAGAATTAAAAATGATTTTTATTTTTCATTCATAAAATGCAGATCACATAAGTTAATATCACATTGTTAATTTTGCCATGTCTTGGAGTGTTTAAAATGTTGATCATTCCAAAATTATAGCTCATTTAGGAAGGCATAATGTTATGTAAATTGCCATTTAAACAGCAAAGCTAGATTCTTAAATGTATCAAGAGGTTCCAATTAAAGTCATTAAATGTAGTTGGCCAAGGTGAAAAAGTGACCACAAATACAAATTTTACCCTTCTGAGGGCTTATCAGCAGGACACAGCTGCTGTATCAGCCTAAAGAAAACTAAGCTTATAGGACTGATTTAATTAGGATCAAATGACCTTCAGAATGTGTGAGTTTTAGCAACCAATTTCCAATATCCTTTAGTCATTTAGTTTTTGTTTCTGTGACAAATTGGTTTTGTGTTTTACAGGGCTTATTGGGAAGAACAGGACATCCTGGTCCAGTGGGAGCAAAGGGTGACAAGGTACTGAGGAAGAGCCTCACAGACACTGTCCAAATCCGGTTTGGTGTAGAGTAGGGATGGGTGAGACCTGCTACAGAGAGATCCATGGAATCAAGCAAAGTCTGCAAGTAGAAATGATGGCAAAGAGTAGCTTGTATTTTGGCTGACATACAACAACATTGGTGCAAAATTTTGTGTGAGTACAGATATTATCTCTAGGGGAAAGGATGAGTAGTACACTGGTGCCGCATAGCAATGATGTGAACTGGACTCAGGGTCCTGATCATCTGTCTGTATGTAGGTTGGGAATGTGTAAGTCAAGTGGTTTGCCTCAAGTAGTGCCAACTATAAATGTTTATCTCTTTTAGTTTGGGTGACTTACAAACAACAAATATTTATTTCTCACAGTTCTGCAGGCTGGGAAGTCCAAAGTCAAGGCACTGATAAACTTAGTGTTAGGGAAGGGTGGCTGTCGCTGTCTTATTTTAAATGGCATGTTCTATGACGTGTCTTCACATAGTAGAAGGACAGCCCAGCTGCACTGATTCTTTCTTGTAAGGGAACTAATCCCGTTCATAAAAGTACCATTCTTCCACCTGGTGCTGTGATCCTGGGGGTTATTATTTATTGTTAGAATTGGCAAGGGACAAAATCATACCAGGTGGTGCCAAGGCTCCACACAGCATGCTGGCTATCAGGACCAGGATTCCAATAACAAGGGCTTGCTGAGACAAACTTCAAGTTTTCTCCATGACAGGTTATGGAGGAAATTCACAAAAGAACAAGGCCAACTTTTTTTCCAGACAGGATGGTTGTCAGATGAACAGGCTGTTGTGGTTAACAAGGACCCAGCAATGGAGATACGAAAAAGACCACAGGGCTTGACTTGGGCTCTAAAGTGGTTAGTTCAAGCCAGAACAACAGACAGTGAATTAAGCCTAACTATTCCAATCAAGGACATAAGAATCAAGAGTACATATGAGCTGCTCAAGTGGCTTCTGCTCTCTTACCTGGGTTGCAAACTTCCCGAACAAAATAGTGCAGAGCGGCATCCAGGAGCCAGAGAATCCCAGCAAATGTTAAAGGAAACAGTGTGTTCCTTCTAGATAGTCTCAGCACGCTTTATTCTCACAATATCCTAAGGAACCTGCCCAACCCCACCAGCCTTTTTTCTCTGTTCTCTATGGAAATTATTCAGTCATGGGCTTCCTTTGAAGTTAATGGGAATTCCACACTGAGATGAGCTTGCGGGCACAAATGAAAGTGAAAAGATGACTATTAATTGTGCCAAGGGGAAAAGAAGTATCTTCAGTAGGCACATATTTTCCCTTGTCTGTGGACTCATGAGAACGTCATTCTCTGAAGGGCACTGACAGTAGCCAGCAGAAAATGGCATGTCTTAGATAGCCACCATCAAAGAGTAAAACTCAGGGAAAGATACAATGAACTCATTCTTTGTCACACACTTTTCAGGCAGATGCTTTGCAAGAACTACTCAACAGCTGATTTTTATTAAATATATGATTCTTCTTATCCTTCATCAGAATTATAGCAAAGAAGAACTGAAATTCCTCAAAATCTTTGGTCTCCCTGGATTATTTTTTTAAGTAATCATTCATTGAAATTGAGATAGAGGAATTTAAAGAATATTAATGAGGGTATTATTCTGAAAGAAAAGCACAATTTAAAAAAGATGTCAAGGGAACTGAAATAACTGCTTATTATGGACTGAGAAATATTCCTTGTTTTGTAAAAATACTATTTATGTGTGTATGTTTGTATATATATATATTCACGTTCCAACCTGAGTCTATTTTTCAGAGTCCTTTTTGTTTCTTCCTATAAGCAGCGTTTCTACTGCTGTACAAGTTGTATAGACCACTTCCTTCCAACAGTGTTACACCACAGCCATTTCTGTTCAGCAGCACATGTATGACTTGGTTATGAAGTCTGATCTTAACCTGGGAAAAGAAAGAAGTTTCTCATTCTCTCCTATTTTGATCAAATCATGTGCATGATCTTTCTGTTTCCCCAAAATGAAGGTGGTCAGGTGAGACTTAAAGTGAATGTTGTCCCAGAGAGCCACTCACCCAGAGTCGACAGTCTTTTTCCAGGAACTCTGTGTGTCCCCTGATGTTAGGAGAGAGCTCTTGGTTAATTTGAAGTCCAGAACAGGGTAGCCTGGATTGTCTGCCTCCATTTGAAATACAGTTTTTGCCCAGAACTCACACAATGAGAATCTGGGTATGTGCGACAAGATTTATACCTTTCCTGTGGTCTTGAAATGAGTGTTCCTAGGTAAAAGAGAAAGTCAAGCTATAAGACTTCACAACGCTGAAGAAAAAAAAAATTGATTTCAGAAGCTGGCTGTCTGAGTAAGCTCAATTTAGCAATGCTTAACTCATTGATTTTGTCCTCCCTGTCTTTTGCAGGGCAGTGAAGGACCCCCTGGGAGACCTGGACCACCTGGACCACCCGTGAGTCATTTGGAGTTTAGGAATTAGCATGCATGTGTTTACTTAACACTGTTGTAGCTCAGAGATCAGACGTTCTCAAAGATGAACATATCCTGAGTTTTGCTGGACAAACAATGCTCAGTACATCTTCTGGGAGACCTGTTTTGTTCCCTCCTTAGCTTAGTCCTTACGTGCAATGCTCAGATTTGCAGACTGTCAATTCCTAGCATGGACTCAAAGGACCAGGCTGTGTGCTTCCAAACGCCATAATTCATGCCCTAGGGACCCTGGAAGAGTGATTTAACCTCAGTGAGCCTCCTTCACAGAGGAGAGTGGCTATAAGGAGGGAGCCCTTCTGGCAATCCAAGCTGGAACAAATTGTTGCATTATTTCAAATGTGTTCCTCCTTCTCCTTCCCATGATGTCTGAGATGCAAGAAAATTCTATTTTTATAGCACCCAGTGAAAAAAAATACAAGAGGCATGGATTTTTTTTTTTTTTTTTTTTTAATGCTAGTGATTGAGATAGACGCACTGTTTGCCAGGGAGTTTGTGGACAGGAAAGGTCCCTCTCTGTGGCAAGTCTGCCCTCATGTGGGGCCGCGCTCAAATCGCAGCCTAGTTAGGTCCAAACCAAGCATTTTTTAGCACCCCATCTCACAGGATGGTTTAAGAAACCAAAATCATCAGAGAAAATACAGAATCCATCTGTGGCTTTTGTGGGTAACAGAGAGACATCACTAGTCTTGCGCAGTGCCAAGCTTTGCACACATAATTGAACACACTGGCACTCTTTTTTAACCCTCCTTTGACAACAACTAAGAAAGTATTTAGGGTTTAATTCTTAAGATATTCTCCCCTCCAGTGGACAGAATAGGAAATATAACAAGAGCTCCTGAAAGGAGACTGTAGTTTTAAAATGTACTTAAGAAATCTTCCCTCTGAAATCTCCAAAACCATTCATCGTTCAAGACACAGACTAACATATATTTCCTGGGAAACTTCCTGTAGAAATTTCAGGCAGAAATATCCATTCTCTCTTCGGCATGCAGCACACACAAATACAATAGGCATTAAGTAGCTGTCAAGTGAATGAGTGAAATGAAAAAGGAAAGAATAGATGAAGCATTTTTCTTCCACTACTAATGTTTTGAGGATTCATGCAAATTGTGTACTCTGAACACCACTGACTACCACAATCCAAAAACAATGAAGTGATAATTTGTTCAATTTTGCAACTGAAATGTGAAAAAAAATTACAAAAATAAAAATGTGGATTCAATTGTTGATTCTATGGAAACAAAAAAAGGATCAAAATCCAACTAAAATTCTCACATGCATTTTTTTTCACATGCATGCCAGAATATATGCTTTTTTCAAATTATAGATCAAGTTCTTTTTTGTTAAGTGTTGGCTATCTAGAGACTTCATATGTCAACTTTTTATAGGAAGTCCTTCTTCTAAGAAATATGTTTTTATGAAAACATCCACATAGCGCTGTAATGTTATCATCCCATTTGCCTTCATTTTCTAATTGGCATGAAAAGCCTATGGAAAAAAATTACTTTTTGGTAGACAGATTGTTCCCTATTCACATCTTCATCAGCACAAGTATATTATAGCCTGCAGCTCCACAGGCTGTGAACAGTCAGCATAAATTGGCAATTCAGAAACTGAATTTTAATGAGCATGTAATATTTCCTCTCCAAATGCATTAGTGTGTCTCCTGTCATACCTGCAAATTAATCAAATACTAACAAAGTGTGTGAGCTCTAGATGTAGCTCATACTTCATTTCGTTCCCTGCAAAAGTCAAATTGGAAGCATTGTATTATTTTACTTACAATATTAAAGTCACTCTCTAAATTCGGGGAGGATATGCTTCAAAAATAGAATAGGAACACTATCATTAATAAAATGGTGAAGATAAAGATGGTACGAATTAACTTGAAAGAATAACCCTCTCTCATTTCTTCCTAAGGGTGTGCCATTCAATGAAGGCAACGGCATGAGCAGTCTATATAAAATACAGGTATTCACTTTTATAATGGTGTAAAATTGTTATGAACTGTTATAAATTTTTCTGATCTTTTTTTCCATTTTTTTAAAGGGAGGAGTGAATGTTCCCAGTTATCCGGGACCACCTGGCCCCCCAGTGAGTATATTTGCTAATCCTCAAGCACACTTCAGCTCAACAGCTATACTTTAACCCCAAAACAAGAACAAAAACAACTGTGCTAACCATTCTGCTAACTGGAAAAAAATGCATGTAGCAATTATTACCAAATTTAAAATAGGATAAATTATACTAAAATTGAGAAAATGTACCCAAACAAAATAATTTTTAAAAGCAGTGTCATGCATAATGCCATCACCACTTTTCATTATAGATCTAACAACTAAATAAATATCCAAGCAGATATTTATTTCTGCTTTCATATTTCTTATGTTATTCTTTGTGCACAAGCTGAAACAAAACGTAAAGCTTGCAAATATTCTGATGTATGTTTAAAGCAAAACTGGGCAAAACTCTACCGTATTCCGAGTTTTCCTTTACTCCTTGTTTTAAAAGTGACTTTTTGTTTTTGATTAAGTTTTTGTTTTTCAATACAGGGCCCAAAAGGAGAACCTGGGCCAGCGGTATGTATGTTTCCATGTCATATGTCCTTTAGAAAATTGTCTTTGTTAATGCTTGACACAGAGCATTAGCCAGAGACACCTGCCTTCTTAAGCATTCATCAGTTAGCATGTTGGAGGCGACAAGAAGGCCACCAAGGAAACACAAGTGATATACTCCTTGTTTTCTAAAATGCGGTAGTCCCAATGCTGCCACTGCCCTTGAGGTCCATCTCTTCTCATCGGTGTGTCTGAAAATCATCCTGTGATGGAGGAAGGCACATATAAAACTCCTGATAAATGGGACACTTTCTTCTTATAGGCTTCTCACAGTGACTGATTCTGTTATAAGTAGACTGTGGGAAAGAAGTACTTACTGGAAAGAAATTCCCTAGCATGTCTCACATCTCAACAGAAAAAAAGTGGGGGAAGGGTTGCAGGGAGGGATTGTTTATTTGCTTTGAGTGTCTGAGGAAATTATTCTGCAGGAAATGTGTGCTATCATAAAGCTGCTATTAGAAGGGATGTGTTAGGAGGTGAGCATTCTGCGCGGAAGGAGAGCGAGTCCTCTAGCTTAGCAAAGGATGCTAATTGTTCACAGCATCCTCCCCAGGCACGGAGCCGTAAACATTCTGCCAAATTCAATTAGATTCCCTTGATTTCTTGGCGTTTTTTTCTGTCATGTCCCTGTCAAGCATATGTCCCTCCCTTCATGTTCCATTTGTGTATCCTTTTAACCTGTAGATATATACTTGAAGCATAAATAGACCTAAAACTGAAATAAACTTTTACGAGCCATTTGCCATGGGCTTGAGAAAGAGATGTAAAGCCCCTTTGTTATAGCACAGGTTGATACAGCTTGATGAATGAATTTCAAACCAGGGAAGGAACAGGCTGTATTTTTTTAAAAAAAAAAAGATTTTCTTTAATTTTTATTTTTCATGATACAGTTCCAAAGGCTCAGAGATTTCCCTTTATACTCTCCCCACTTGCCCTTCCCCCTCACCACCACCCCTGCCCCTGCCAATGTTTTACATCTAAATGCATTTTCCAAAAAAGACATAATAAGGAGCTTGTTGCTGTTGTTTCTGGGCAACATATATTAGAACTCAGTTTATTTTACCCTGAAAGTAGTTTTTCAACACATTAGTGCCATGTTCTGAACAAGCCCCAAATAATGTAATTTGAAAGTTCGCTTTGCTACTCATGCCACCTTTTATTTGGGTGTATTTAAATACTTTCATCAAGGGCTTTCTTCATTCTAACTTAATTTTAATTCATTTTGGGTCCTGATCTTTCCCTCTCCTGCACACACACAAAACAACCCTCTGAATCATCCAGGTGAGACTAGCCTTCTTAGTGACTTTTCTGGAACAATTTTCCAAGTTCTTCCATTTGTAATTGCACATTTAGGTGAGAGGATTTTTAGAAACTTTTATGATAAAAGATAAAAAATAGCTCGCCTGTATTGGCAACAAAAATTTAGATTTGTTGGGGGTAAAAGTGAAAAAGGTGGCAATTCAGATTTTTTAATTGCCAGCAAGAATCAAAAAAATTTTAAAAGTTAATATCGGATGTTCTCTGTAGATATGTGCATTAACTGAAAAGCACAAAACCATAAATATAGGATCATGAAATGTGAATATTCAGGCTTATTTTAGAACAAAACTTCAAAATTACCCTTTGGAGACTTCACACTGCCACACATCACTCATCATCCAATGGCTGTTGCCCTGGATGACAAATAGCACACGATGTAGGAAGAAGCCAGGAATGGTAGAGAGGAAGTCACAGAGAAAGCAGTTGGAAGGACTTTTGTGGCAGATGGGGGATGTTTCTTCCCTCGGAGTCCTTCAAAGCCCAACGATAGCACCACACCACTTCTTCTAATCTATTCAGTAAGCTGGTATAAAGAAAAAATACACTTAACTGAATTTAAGATCCTCTGAGACAAACCCATTCATTCATTTGGTATTGAGTTTGTAAGTAATTTTCAATTAAAGATTGAATTAGCGACTTTGAAATATTGATTGATTGATTGAACACCTCTTGTGCCCTAAGGGCTGTGGGAAATATCAACAAAGAGAATCAAATAATGGTTTTCCTTTGTTAGTTAAGCCTGTGAATATAGAGTGGCTTCGAATTATTTCTTTGCATAAACTAATGAAGAGAGGGAAGGAAGGGAGGGGAATTTGGAGAGCAGGGATGTCAGTGTGTGAGAGCAGGGGATGAGGGAAGTGGCATTGGCTTCTTGGCACTGTACCCATGGAAGGCATAAACTCTGTTTTTACACTAAAAAATAGAGCATCACTCAGGGCCTATTTTACAGGACTTTATATAAAGTAGAATATGAGCCTTTTTTCTGTTGGCTAGTTTAAATGTTAAGGATCATTTAAAAAGATTTCTGGAGCGTAGACAATATCAAGTCACATGGCTTTTTACTAACTATGCTGTAGTTAGGACAATATCATAAATAATAATGGAAGCTGGAGCCTGAATAATAATTTTAATTAGATCGAAAAACATTTAAATGGAATAAAATTTGAAATGTTATTCTCTTAAGTGATTATATTTAAAACATACATTGTTCTAGGAAAATATTTATAGTTGACATTAACTAATTTAAAAGAAAGTATCAAATAACTGCCCACTTTCTTTTTTTTTTTTGACGTAAAAAAAGTGTAAAATGTGTGGATGCCATACTATTTTCATATATAGTTATTTATAACTGCTGCCTTCACTGAATCTTACCATTTACATAATTATATAGCCTCTTTCCTCACTTTCTGATCACTGTCATAACCCACATTCTGTGACAGTAATATCCCTGCTTTCAAGAAAAATACTGTAAATGTACTGTAAATAGTATCTACAAATGAAGTGACTGGCAACATGTTAGCAATTATTAAACCAATAAATATAATTAATAAGAAGATAAAATAAAACCATGATATTGATTTGTTCATGGTTACAGCTTTCTTCACCAATGAATTTTTTTAATGTGCCCTTAAGGACCTGCAAGTTACAGTCAGACTGGAGGCCCATAACATTTTTAGTGATGACTTCTGTCTACTTTTGTGACCAATGAGCTTGAGCAGTGATTTTGGGAATCACTGGCAGTGCTCTCCAGGGTCATCCTCTTAAGTGTTCACAACTCATGTTCAACTGCACAGAATATTTAAAGATGATAAACTGTATTTTGAGATCTCCCTCTTCATCTACTGTAAAAAGGTTTAACCCTATTCATTGGTACACTAGCAGCCCCACGTACTTCATAAATTAGCATGTTTTAGTAAAGCTCTGTTTTTCTTTCTGATTCTTATTGAAATCGGAATTATCACTGGCTGGAGGGATTCATTCTAATTAGATTCTTTATCATAATTAAAATGATTAGAAAATGCACTTCTCTGAAAAATAGGACTTTTTTCTCAAGCTACTTTCAAATATCAAATGCAACAGTACAATGCTTTAAAATAGAGTACACCATTTACTTGCTCAATTACAAATCAGTATTTGGAATAAAGGCAGGGAATTGACAGAAACATCTTTGCTTTGAAACCAGTGCTTGAAAACCTTTTGATTATTACTTCTGTTCTTCTAACAGGGAGAACCTGGTGCAATGGGGCTGCCGGGACTAGAAGGATTTCCAGGAGTAAAGGTAAGCATAGAGTTTAGAAAACTGCTGATGGATTAAACATCCCAAAAGGTTGATAGAAGCATGTTTGGCACGGTGGCTAAGAAGCTGCCTAGGACACTCACCTCCCAGGTCAAAATGCCTAGGTCCTGTCAGATTTCCTCATTTCTGATCCAGCTTCCTACTGATTGGCACCCTGGGGAGTGGCAGATGAAGGCTCAGCTACTTGTGTCCCTGCCACCCACAGGCAGGACCAGATGGAGTTCTGGACTCCTGGCTACAGACTGGTCCAGCCCCAGTTGTTGCAGGCATTTTGGGAATGAGCAGACATATGGAAGATTTCTCTGTGTCTCTGCAGCTCTATCTTTGTCTCTCTTTATCTTTTCAATAACATTAGAATATAAATTTTTAAAAAGAGATACAACTCTTGTTACAAAATGTTTACTGAGCACCTGTTTTAGATTGGAAGACACACAAGGGAAAAAAGCAGACAAAACTATAACTGGGTATTCCGGCAAGAGAATACCCAAATGAAAATGAAAAACTTAATAAAACCTAAATAATATTGTTGCTACGTGCTACAAAAAGAAAATATAGACCAGGTTCAGAGAATCAGGAGCACTGAGGTGAAGACTGGGGTTGTGTTTGCAAGTGGGGTGGTCTCAAAGCAAAATCTGAACTAAGACTTGAAGAAGTGGAGGGGGGGAGGCCAAGTCCTTATTAGTCTGAATGAAGAACATTCCTGAAAAAGGAGACAAAGATCTAAAGGCTGTTGAGATATGAGATAGCTGTAATATCCTAGGGGACCAGTGGCCTGAGGGCAGAGAGGGTTGTAAGGGATGTCAGAGAAGTGGAGCGAGTGGTGGGGTAGTGTCAGGCATGTGTCCCTTAAAAAAAGCAGTGCTACTCAAAGTGTGGCCAGTACAGGACCAGGGCTATTCTGCAAACTTTGTTTTAGATTCTACAGCAAAGATTGTACAGTACTTGAGAGGCAGCACCTAAAAATATGCCCAGTAATTTGTCTCAAATTGCCTAACAAACATATAATCATTAGACTTACCTTAGTTTGTGATGTTTTAGAAAATAAATAAGAAACTGCTCCTGTACCCACAGGCAACTTGAGAAATACTAATAAAAAAGATACTAGTCAATATAATGACTTTATCTTTCAATCTGAGGGAAATGGAGAGCCATTGGTGGTTTCTAAGTAAAATGATACAACCTGCATTCAAAGGTAAGAAAAGAAGCAGAAAATACAGCTAGAAACCCATTCCAGCAGTCCGAGTGGGAGTGGAAACTGGATCAAATCAGAGTTAGAAACAGTGCAGGTAGTGAGAAGAGGTTCAGGTCCTGGATATTTTTTGAAGGTGGAGTCAATAGGATCTTCTGATTGATTAGCTGCTGGACTGATAGCATGAAGAGGAGTCAAACATGACTCTAAGATTTAGGAAATGAGCACCTGGGATGATTAGGTGGTTATAATCTGAAGTTTGGAGGGCTGTGCCCAAACCCTATTTGAAGGTGTGAAGAGGAGTTGTTTTATGTTGGACATGTGGACAAATTGGAAGAGAACTGTTAGCAAAGTAGAGGTGTTGAGTAGGCAGGATGATAAAAATAGAACTTTGGAAAGAAAACTAAGTGGAGATAGAATTTGTCTGTCTCAAGCATATGCATGCTATTTTTAAAGCAAGAGGATTAGATAAGATGATCAAGGGAATGTGTTAAAAAGAGAGAGAGACGAATAAAAAGAAGTGTTTCAAAGACTGAGTCCTGTAGCCCACTGGCATGCAGTGATTACACAGAAAAGAGGAACTTTGAAGGGGAGTAGTGAAGTGACCAGGAAGGTATGAAGGAATATTGATGCCCTACAAGTCAAGTGAAAATAATCAAGGAAAAGGAACTGATCACCTGTCCCAAATACTACAAAGTAACTCAGAATATGGGGGTAGGGTCAAATAGAATATTTGAATAATCTATCAGGTATACAAATATTGAATAAAATTTTTAGTACATTTCAAGAGTGAAAAAAATACAGTGAAACTGATTACATTCTTTGCTAATCATTCTATTACACATTTTTGACAATGACTATGATTTATGTGAAATTCTTTGTTTTTAAAAATCTGTTGATTTATTTGAAGGAGTTAGAAGGAGCAACAGAGAGATATACTTTCCACTGGTTCACTCCCAAAATAGTTAGAATGACCTGAGTTGAATCAGGCCAATGTCATAAGCCATTAGCGATGTCCGTCTGGCCTCCTACACGACTGCAGGGATCCAAACACTTGAGCCATCTTCTAATTATATTTGCAGGCTATCAGCAGGAACCTGGATGAAAAGTGAAGCTGCCAGAACTCTAATCTGTGCCTACAGGGTTGCCTGTGTCACAGGGGGCTGCTTTACCTTCTAAGCCATGATGTCAGCCCTGAAAAACATTTCTTCTACTTTACATATTGGATCTTGGTGCTAGTTGGCCTTTGGCTTTCTTTTTGTTTGTTTCTTACAGTTATTTATTTGAAATGCAGAGTTATAGAGAGACAAGGGAGGAGAGAGGGAGAGAGAGCTTCATTCACTGGTTCACTCTCCAAATGGCCACAAAGGCCAGGAGAGGGCCAGGTGGAAATCAGGAGCCAAGAGCTTCATTTGGGTCACTCAAGTGGGTGGCACGGATCAAGAACCTGGGCCAGGCTCACTGTTTCAGATCATTATCAAGGACCTGCATCTAAAGCAGAACAGTTGAGACCTGAATTGACACCTGTATGGGACACAGGAATTGCAGGCAACAGCTCTACCCACTATGCCACAATATGGGCCTCAAGACAAAACCGTTGTAGCCTTTGGCTTTCATTTCTATGTTTAATATTAATATAATTTTAATGTAGTCAATTTTAAAACCTATTTTATGATTCCTTGTTTTGTGCACAAAGTGACTTTTACATTCATTTTAGCAAAGATCAGATAATTTCAACATGTTTTTTAGTATTTCATGTTCATGCTATTTTATTTTTATGTTAATCTACATAGAACTTAGGTAAGATACAGTGTGGAGAAAGCAATCAAGCTTTTGGCAAGGTCATTCATTACCACTGTTTATTGAATAATGGATCCCTTTCTTTACTAAAGTCCTATTACGAATTCTTATCTGTTTTGAGATGTATTTTATTGTTGCACTGCTTAATCTTAAGCCATTATTCCAGTTACCCAGGCTTATCACATGTTTAAATATTGATAGTGTTAGTATCTATTATTCTTCTTTCCTCTTATCTCATTCATTTATTATTCCAAGTGAGCTTTAATATCATTTGATCAAACTACAATTTTATAAGAATTGAATTAAATTTATAAATCAGTGTGGGCAGTAATGACACCTTTACAACATTTGCAACATTGTCTAACCCAGCAAGAACAAAGCACATCATTTCCTTTAATCAAGTCTTCTTTTACGTCCCCAAGTAAAGTTAGGATATTTTTTAAATGTACCTTCTGCCCAACAAATTGCCATTTTATTATCCTGTATATAATTACTGGTATTTTCAGCACTGTCAGATTAGTCAAAAACACCACACTGCCTCTTTAGAAACATTTATTGCTCAAAAAGAGTCAAAGGATCTTGATTGATCAAATGACAAGAACTACAAGTTCTTAGTTGTATTTCATTCTAACCCTACATTCACTGAGTCAAGTGTAAGAAAAGCTTTTCAGAAGGTACTCAATATGTAGGAAAAAATACTAATTTTAGCTATAAGAATATATGGAATACTGTTATGAAGGCGTTTGGGGGTTACTGATTACAACCCATATGTCCTACATCAGAGTACCTGAATCAATTCCTGGTGCTGGCTCCTGACTCCAGTTTCCTGCTAAGGCAGATCCAGTCAAGTAATTGGTCAAGTAATGGAATTCCTACCATGTACTTGGAAAGCTGGAATAAGTCCCTGGCTCTATATACCTGGCATTTGGAAAGGGAACAATTAGATTTCTCTTCCTCTTTCTTTCTTTTCAAATTAATAATTTTTAAAAATATTATAAAATTAGATGAATGCATGTTATGATTAAGACTTTATGTTGGTTTATGTAACAAGAGTTATAGCAAATTTCAATTAACTACTCATTATTTTTCCACACACTCTCTACCCTTACATCAGCTAATAACATCAAATATAAATTATTAGAATATTAATTTTATGAAACTTTTAGAAACATGATACACTGTTATTTTTTTTTATTCCAACAGGGAGATAGAGGCCCTGCAGGTCCGCCAGGGATAGCTGGGATATCGGTGAGTTCAGATTAACTTACATAATTCTCACGTATAACATCTGTAATTCCCTTTTAAACCTATGTCCAAGGATCAAGAGTTATTGGGAGTGCCTCATAATCCATAGAGCATTATATTCCCAAATATCCAGTTTAAAAAATATAGGCATTTGTCCCCTAACTCAAGAATATTCCATTTTTTTTAATTTTTACCTTTGTCTTTCATTTTCATATATTTTAAAAAGAGACCAAATTTCATCCATTTCATGTATACAATTTTGAGAGCATAATGCTAATTCCCACTCTACCCTCCTTCTCTCTCTTCCTCACTCCTATCTATCCTTCCTTCTTTTCTTTTTTCTTTTAATTTTTACAGTGGTATACTTTCAATTTACTGCATAATCACAAGATTAACCACCCACTAAATAAAGAATTTAACATGCACTAAGTAGAAAAACCACTGTTCCTCAGGAATGTAGACAAGGACTGTATACAATAATCAAATGTCAATAATTAAATTTCTAAATATCAGTTCCACTCTATACTCATTACTTTTTTTTTCGCTATGATTATTAGTTACCACGAATCAGGAAACATGGTATTTGTCTTTTGCAGACTGGCTTATTTCACTTCTTCTAACTTTTTATCTTCCCAAGTCACTTTCACAGGGATAAAGGAAAGCTGGGTTACCATGACTGGGTATTAATATATGAGCATAGCTTTAAATAACATTTTTTGTTTCTCGGTTCTTGCCATATTTCAAGATTCCTTAATCATGGAAGGGAAAAGCTCTCCTCCTCAGACACATACTTGAAGTTTCTTAGATTAAGCTGCAATACGCCTGAGTTATCCCTTAGCTTGCTGTTATTAGCAGAACTTTATTGCTGCTAATGTTTCCTCGTAAACTGGCCCTTCAATCCTCTCAATCATTTTTGTTGCTCTCTGGTGTCAAATGTTTTAATCTCATCAAGGTCTTTTCAAATGAATGGTAAGTGCTCCAGGAAAGGTTGAAATCATTTCTCCAAGCCCCGGGGATCATTCTGATCTCCATTCATGATACTCTAATTAAAATTTTGTGGTCACACTTTATGAATAAGAGCCCATTTATCCTCTTAGTAGGTGCCCCTGCAGGACAGGCCTAGGAAGCATTGTAAGAAAGTCAATGGAAAGCATGTGAGAAAGATAAGAAAGGGCAGTATCATCATTACCCACTGACATCTACTGAAACCCTACCCACCCAGGGCCACCCAAGGCCACCCAATGCCCCAGCCATCACCTAGAACTGTGCACCAGCACTCCGTGCCTGGAAGTGCCAATCTCCACTCTGCTTTTCTTCATTTCACTCTAAGTCTAGCAACAAAAATTAAAACCCTCTCAATAATCTCTTTTTTGGCTGTTTCAGTTGAGTTAAATATTTCTATGGTTATAAAAGTAACATGAACATGTTTTCTTCAGCAATAATTACACATTGTTTTGTTTTTATAAAAAGGCATTCTACATAATGTTTGACTACACCCTTCAGCCCATTCTCTGCCTGCTCTATTCACTGACCACTATTCCCAGCAAACTCTCTTTAACTCTGTATCTGGAACTGCCTTCAGAAAACCCTTACAGCATGTCCCCACTTTATCTTCAAATACTGTTTTTGTTTCCATGTCATAAATTGGAAACTTAATTTCCCCTAGTTAGACTATAAATTACTTTTTGTGTTTTTATTTGAATTTTTAAAAATAATTACAAAGGTGAGGGGTTTGCAGACCCAGCTGGACCACAGATTGTGATGGCGAGGGTCAGGGTTGGGAGGAAATGTAAATGGGAGGAATATTTTCTGTCTTCCCTCCTGTGTCCAAGGGCAGGGGGCAGGGAACGAAGTGTGTTGCTCCTTACTGACTGATGACATTACAGCCATGGAATGAAGGTGGCCTCCTGAAGCCACCTTTGCAACCCTGGAGGGAAGAAGCATGTCTTGGGGTGTTATTTGAGTGACAGGCAGGTGAAATCAACACAGAGAGAAAGGTCTGACTTCTGACTTGGGGCCATAAGCTTGCTACATAGTTGTTCCAATTTTGACTCCCATCTAATGGATCACTTTCATTGGCTGGAGACTTTCCATTCAGGGGCTATAAGTGTAGCCCCCACATCACCTTGGTTACTCTGAGAAATTATTGGCTTTGTTGTACAACAGGTGACAAATTCCATCCGTCTTCACAGGGGCTCTTCGTTGTACTCTCTGTCTGAGTTGTGATGTCTGTTGGCTGTCCATGTCTACCTCAGGATGTCCTCAGACTTCGGAGCTTGCTATAGAACTTGGCCTGAAGTGCTGTTCAATTTATTTTTCTTTCCACCCTTTGGAGAGGTATTTGAGGTCTTCTTTTGGATTAGAGGAGCCAGCTGTCTTGTCTTTCTTGTACATATGGGTATGTTCATCATCCTTGCATGACAGTCAGCAGTGGAGGTGCCCCAGTCCTGTACATATAGTCCTAGGCCAGACAACACATGTATAGACTATCCCCTGAGACTGAGAATCCTGGTCTAAAGCACTCATGATATTCAGGGAGCCCACTCCTAGTCATGCCACCCTACTTGCCCTGTCCTCAGCCCCAGCTCTTGCAAGCACTTTGGTGGGTGCAGCAACCTGATCTAGACTGCCCCCAACTCCCAGCTCTTAGCTTTTGCTTTTAATACTGAGTTAAGTTTATTCTCAAAGAAAGGAATATTAACCTCCATTAAGTTTCTTTTAATGAAATACAACAGTCTCAAAAAGCAATCTAAAAGAATAAATCCACAGATATTTCTGAAGGATGCAGTATAACTGAAATAAGGGGTTAGCCTGCCACACATGTACTTAAAAAGCATTGTCAGCACCTCTTAATTAAGAACACTGACAATTACAGAAATAAGATGGGGGAAACACTTTACTACTGTGTGATTGAAAACACACCCTCACTTTTTAGGACATGAAATTTCCTATGGCTCAGAAAATAAAACCTTTCTAAAAGGTTTTAGAAATAGATAGTGGTGATGGTTATATGACGGGTATAAATGTGATTTGTGCTACTGAATTGCATCCTTAAAACTGATTAAAACAGTATATTTAGTAGTACATATATTTTACCACAACAGAAAAAGGCTTAAGATAATTCTGCTTGAAGTTGGGGGCTGAGGCTGCCCATGCACATTATGGTCACTCAGCTGAGTATCACTGGGACCCAGTCATGCCCTCTTCTGCAACAAACCTGACTTTCCCCTTGCCATAAGGGCAGAGTTGTTCAGCAGTTTCTCTGGTGCTGCTTTCTTTATCTGTCTCCCCAGGTAACCTGTGGTCATAAAGAAGTGTCTCAAAGTGTTGGCGGTTTGTAGGGCCTCCATTCAGCATTCTCTCCCTTAGGTTCTGAGCTCTCTGTTGGTCCCATCTGACTCTTGGGGTAGCTGCTGTCTTCCATTGCTATCTGGAGACCTTTTCTCAAATCTCAAGGCCTGAGCACTTCATACCCCGAGGGCCCACACCATGTCTCTTTTGGACATTGACCTTCTCAGCTCCAACATCTTTGTTCTGCTCCATCTATAGGCAGCTCAGGAGCTGCAGGAGATCCAGGCATGTCCTTTCTGACCTTGTGTAACTTCAACTTTCAGCCATGTCTGTTCCTGCCAGAGGGTATCTGCCCAAATTCTAAATAGCAAAGTGTTCATTCACTCTCATTCTATCAAAATCCATTGGCCCTTACCTGAAGTCTATACCTACATCCCCATGTTGTTGTGCATCTCACTTAGCAGGTTCATTTGGTCACCTGATACTCCCTTACTTCTAGCCTCTGCTAGATCTCCCCCACCAAACTTTCATGTGTTTGCTCACCTGCAGTCCATGGGGTGTTGGCCCAAATCCACCTTTTCCTCTCCTTTTTGGTGAAACTCAGCATTTTAAAGCAGAGATGTCTCTCTTCATGCCATCCTACAACAAACACAAAGCCCTGTAACGAAGCTCAAAACCTAGGAAAGACTCCACCCTGTGTGCCTTTTGTCCCTCCTAGTAAAAAAGAGCTGCTAAGCAAAAAGGCATAAGAGAAGATTTCCAAAACTGTGGGTCTGTTGATTTAATGTTTTCTAAAATACTCTCCCTTCTACCCCCGCTGGCTATACCTATATTCCTTGAGAAACCTGCACTCCACCTGCATCTGACTGCCTGTAACGTTTAAGTATCGAGGCATACACATTGCCTCATTTAGGAATTTGCATCCTAACATTTCTGCTTGTCCCACAGGGGAAGCCTGGTACTCCAGGGCCTCCAGGAGTTCCAGGGGAGCCGGTGAGTGAGTGGCCACTAACATTCATCACATAACATAATGTGTTAATACTTGCCTACAGTTTTAAAGCATTTCTTGGCAATATTTTTTTTCCTGTGAATGTGCTTGTAGGGTGAGAGAGGGCCTGTTGGAGATATAGGGTTTCCTGGACCAGAAGGACCCTCAGGAAAGCCGGTAAGAATGATTTGTTGCTTAAAATTTGCTGCTAAGAAATCGTCTAAGCATTGCCTCTTTGAGAAATGGTGTGTGAATTACCTCTTCATGGATCACCTCAGAATGTCTGATTTGAAGAAGCAGCTTCCCGGAAAGTAAAAGCAGGTTCCACAAATGAATTTGAGGCTGCAGACAGCATGTATTCTCTCCATGTTTTCTAGTTCTTTAGGATATCTCACACACTTATTGTACACACACACACACACACACACACACACACACACACAAGGTAAGGTTTTTTTAAGGGCCATAAAATTAGATTCATTACTAGTTTATGTCTAGTATTCTTAGAGTTAAAACATAGAATGGCCAGTCCTATTTCAAAATACAAAAGAAACCAAAATTCAGAGATGTAATACCTGTATCTTAAGCCAAAGTAGAAGCTATTTTCTCAAATCTTCACCTTTATAAGTGGGGCTTGTTCTTATACTTTCATAAATCACTACTGCTGGCTGTATCATCCCTGCGTGTCCTGAAGGAACTCTTGGCTACTGATCTATAGCATTGGTGTGACATTGTAACAATCACTCCTAATTCAATTCCACATATATTCATCTAGTCTATGCTGTTGGCTGAGGATGTTCCAGGCCCTTGAGAAAAGGTGTATGAAGACGAATAAGACATTCTCCACACTCAGATTTATTCTTTCTGGAAGGCCACTTCTCCCTTGACTTGTTTATTTTCTGTGGGATGTTTAGGTAGAAGGAAAGATTGAAGGTGAACAAGCAGCGTGAAACTCATGAGACTGATTCAGTATGTTGCAGATGTTCAGAGCTGGTTGCATGCATAGTCCTCCGAGAAGTCAGCATGGAGAAAATAAGAAAACCTATGCAAATTAGAGTCAGGAAGATCTAAATATGGACTGTAGCTTAAGGGTTTTATAAGTTATGTATGTGCCATGACATATGGAAAGTATTTCCACTCCACAGCCATAGGAATTGCAAATATAGTGGTTTAATTCCCTGCCTCCTCCTCATCTTCCTTTACCAAATTTCCCATGCAACCCCTGCAAACCATCTCATCTTGTCAAAATGTTGAGTACCCAGAGGATTATGCAAAAACCATTTTGTTCATTCAGCACTGTTATGATTAATAATAATTCATGAGATTTGCATGGTCTCATAGGAACACACACACACACACATTTCAGGTAGATGATATAAGGAGATCTAACTGCATTATCACATACACTGGATCATCAGGGAAGACCTGATATATGAGCAGAAAATTTACATGGAGTAAGAAAAAAACTCAAGCCATGGAAAGGCTGGGGAGAATACTGTTTCTGAGAAAAGAAATAGTACAGCAATGAGCCCAGCAAAAGCAAAGAACAGTAAAAGATATGAAATTGAGAATGAGCATGGCAAAAAAAAAAAAGAGAAGGTAAGATACTGAGTGATATCTAAGTCTTAGATTAGAGTTTGACTTTTGTTTGAAATATAATAGAAACTAAAGCTTCTGTAGCAGGGAATAAAAATGATCTGACTGCATTTTAAGATTCCATCTGACTATTAAACTGTGAGTTGGTTATAAGGAGCAGGTGGAACAGTAAGGAAGTATTGCCATAAACTCTGAGATAAATGATGGTGAGATTGAGATCGCCAAGAGGGTAATTTAAGAGGTACATTGAAGGAAGCACCAAGACGACTTGCAGATAGACCAAATGTAAAGTGTGAGCCAAACAGACAAACCAGGGTTGTGGTTTGGAGTCTGAATAACCATGGGAGGGCGGTGCTGTGGAATGAAGTGATGGAGACAGAATATACATGGGCGTGGGAAGGAAAACCAAGAGTTCTTTATCAGATTGAGGCACTGGTAGCTATGCAAATGGAAATGCCAGCTGTGTGGTGGAGATACACACCTGGAATTCATAGGCCAGGTTTGGGCTGATTTGGGTATTTAAACCTGAATTTGGATGAAATGAAGTCAGTGTGGGTAGGGACAGAAGAGTACTTCAATTGTTAGGAAGAAGACCTAGCAGAGAACACAGTACTAATGAGATAAAGTGAGGCTTCTGAGACAACAGGTGAGCTAAGAGTTGAAAGAGAAGTGAGAAAGAGGTAAGTCACAGATAAGTAGCAGGAGGACTGGTAATTCTCTGCCATATTTGCAAGGAAGTTATTTATAGCAGAGATGGTATCAATCTAGTATCTTGATAAAAATAACCCAATCACAAGAGGAAAACTTGATGATACAAGGAAATAGAGAGTAAGTTCATGAAGACAGCTGGTATCCTATTCATCACTGGAAACTGCTGGCAAGTAGAATCAGGGGAAAATCATGTCTCTCAAATACAGGGACGTGTAAAAGTTGGGAAACAAATTCATGTATGTCATTAAAGGAAGGCCCGGTGCGATGGCGTAGTGGCTAAGGTCCTCGCCTTGAATGCACCAGGATCCCATGTGGGCACCAGTTCTAATCCCAGCAGCCCCACCTCCCATTCAGCATCCTACTTGCGACCTGGGAAAGCAGTTGAGGACAGCCCAAAGCCTTGGGACACTGCACCCACATGGGAGACCTGGGAGAAGTTCCTGGCTCCTGGTTTTGAACTGGCTCAGCTCTGGCCACTTGGCGAGTGAACCATCAGACAGAGGATCTTCCTCTCTGTCTCTCCTCCTCTCTGTATTTCTGCCTTTCCAATGAAAATAAATAAATCTTAAAAACAAAATAAAAACAAAAACAAAACTAAAGGAAAGGCCACAGTTTTCTGTTTAGTAGGGTGGTGATACAGTAGGTCTAAAGACAGGGAAAGGGGTTGAAATGTACTTTGGGACAAAACAAAAGAAAATCAAATTAAGACAAACAGAAGGGTAATCTGACCATTGTTCTTCTGTTTGGGCTGGAAGAAGTATGCAAAGACACATTTTGTTTGCTATATCAGCAGCTCAGATGAAGATGTCTGGTAGATAGAAAGCTGGTTATGCCCAGAAATATGGTTGTGCCAGAGAGATTAGAGGAGGGGAGATCAATGGGATACATTTGAGTTATTAAAATTTCTAAAATGGAGCTGGAATTGTGGCAGGATAAGTTAAACCACCGCTTGTAATGACAACATCCCATGTGAATACTGAGTGGAGGCCCAGCTACTCTGCTTCTTATTTAGCTTCCTGCTAGCGTGCCTGGAAAGGCAGTGAAAATGGCTCAAGTACTTAGCCTGCTTCCATACATATTGGAGACCTGAACAGAGTTCAGCTTTCTAGCTTCTACCTGGTCTCAGCCATTGTGGTCAAATGGAAATTGAACCAGCAGATACAAGATATTTTTGTGTCTGTCACTATGTGGTTCAAATAAATAAAGTCTGTAGAAATTAATTCTCTGAAAGCAAGAATGTCCCTGTGATGGATAGCAACTCCTTCATATGCAAAAAAGAACACTTAAGGAATTGTTTGATACTAGAAATCAAAAGAAAAATAATGGTTTATAGGGCCATTCCTTTGCTTACATTGTTACCAAAATATGGACCACATTTTATATCTGTCTTCTTTTATTCAAGCAACAAAGTTATTTCTTTGAAACTCTGTCCTTAATCAGCTTTGTCTCTGTTCTTGTGTTTCTGGGTGCAATAGCTTCTCTGAACGTACACTTCAGGTAACATGTTCTTCATTAAAGCTCTCCAGATAACTCCCAGGATGTTCAGAGAGATTGGGGAAATATGGTTGGATTATCAACTGTGACAGATTTCAGTGTAATTTACAGCACTGACAACATGCAGTTGTTTCCAGTTCTATCCTCAATCCATTCCAGTGCAATAAATGTCTCCTCGGCTTTTCAGAGGAACAAGAGCATGCAATTGCCTGCTGGCTAAGAAATTATATTCCTCACCTTGCTCTGCCTCTTCAAATCAAATATCGAAAACACATGTGCTTTGGGCCCTAGGTATTTGATTTGACCCCAAATCTTTTTCCTTCTTAAATCTCCTGGCCAATCTCCCAATCTTATAAAATCTCCAAGCAGGACTGAATTTTATTACCACTTCCACAACTGCCTTTTAAAGTTCAAAAAGCTTCCAATTTTCTAATAATATTTGAAAAAAAAAAAACCCTCCCTATTTAATACTCTCAAAAGCCATGATTACAGATTTCTTGCTTTTCTTCAACTAAAAAATAAACAGTTGTACCCTAGGTGACAGCTTCTTTTCTAGTAGGATCATGCTCTGGCCATGTTACAAAATTTTCCCAACTGCGGCTGAGATCATTTACTGAGAATGACTGTTGTGCTGGAAAGCTTCCTGTTAGAAGGTAACAAAATGCCGTGCCCTAGTCAGCTGGTGCCAGGGGATGCCTTCCCTTTCCTCAGAATACACCTGAAAGGAAAGTCAGTAAGGAGAATAAAGTTTGCTTACTATTCAAAATGCATTGTACATCTTTCATGTTACTTTATTTATTCCTTGGCTTAAGTTGATGCTTATAGAAGAAAATTTTCCAAGCAAGGTTAATGCAAATATTAAGTGACAGAAGTTTTAAAATTTTATTTTAAAACCAGAGTCAGAATCATCCATTGGTTCATTCCCAGAATGCCAGGTGAAGACCAGTAGCGATAAACTCAGTCTGGGTTTCCTGCATGGGAAGCAGGACTACAACTACTGAGTGTTGCATGTTGCTTCCCAGGGTGTATTTTAGCAGAAAGGTGGAATCAGAAGCAAGCCTGGTCTTGAACCTGGCACTCTCGCACAGGATGTGGGCATCCAAAGCAACTACTTAACTAATGTGTCAAATATCTGCCCTCAGTGTCAGAATTTGAATTCAGGGCTGTCTGATTTTACCAAGGTCTCAATAGAAATGTGATTAAGGAGGAGCAGGTGTTGTGGCAAAGTAGGTTAAGTTGCTGCTTGGGACACCCATGTCTCATATTGGGGTACCAGTTTAAGACTCAACTAAGGAAAGTAAACTAACAAAGGGACGCTCTTTCCCTATTCACTCTGAGTCTCAAATAAATAAATAAATGTACTTTTAAAAGATATGAATGGGAGCTGGCATTATGATATAACAAGTAGAGCTGCCACCTGCCAAGCTGCCATCCCAAGTGGTCACAGGTTTAAGTAACAGCTGTTCCACTTCATCTACCTCCCTGTTGATGTACCTCAGAAAGCACTGGAATATGGACCAAGTACTTGGGCCTCCACACTCATGCAAGAGACCCAGGAGAAGACCCCTACCCTAATTTCCATCTGGCTGAATTTTGGCAGTTGTGGCCATTTGGGGAATGAACCAGTAGATGGAAGATCTATCTGTCTCTCTCAATGTCTCTTCCTCTCTCTGTAACTGCCATTTAAATAATGATTAAGGAACTGTCCTAGAATTCTTATTCTTTAATTGAACTTAATTGTACCATTTAATGCAGATTTAGAAATGTTATTTATTTTTCATGTTTATAGGGAATAAATGGGAAAGATGGATTACCAGGTGCTCAGGTATGTTGTAAGACTATCTGCCTCCAGAATATTCACCAATATTTAGATCAGATTGATGAAAAACCTTGGCAGGCAGTGATTTTTCCTATTGGCGTCTGTTTTTCAGGGTATTGCGGGAAAGCCTGGAGATAGAGGCCCCAAAGGAGAACGTGTACGTATATTGCTATTGTAGTAGTTATTCAATTCTATTACAACTGTCCCATCATTTGAGTTACATATGTAGACTCCTAAAACCTCCCACTATATCAAAACAAAGCTAGGTTGGATATGACCAAAAATCTCTTATTAGACAGAAAATGTGACAACTAAAGGGCCAGGAAGCGGGTCTTCCAGCTACACTTAAGTGGTTACATTAACACACAGCTGAATCTACTCTTTTCTGGATTGCAAAATTTCCATGAACTTTTCAAAGCCCCCAAACAGAGTGGAATAATGTCAGGTAAGTGCTATGATCTTATTTGAATTGCTTATTTGAGTTGCTGATATTGTTGTAACTTCTCTTGTTTTAATATACATTCTATCTTCTAGTAGGCCTAATGCTCTTCCACAACAACAGCTTACCTAAGCATCTGTGCTTACTACAATTCTATTTGGGACTGCTACTTTGTGTGATAGTGGAAACATATATATTTACATACCAATGTCTAGTTTACTAATTTTTATATATTATTATGCAAGTAATTCATCATACCCAAAGGAAATTCAGATAATATAAATTTAAAAGAAAAAAAAATTTTACCTCATCTTTCTAAAGAGATAGATGTCATGGGTATCTCAGACATATTTCTACCTCTCTTACTCTTATATATCAAATACATCTATGTTTATATATGTGTCAGTAAAAACAGATGTTTTTCTCAAAAGAAATGGGTTTTCATTGTTACGTAACTGATACTTATCCGTAACAAAATATAATAACCACCTATCTTTTGTAAGTAAATACAGATCTTCATCTACTTTTTCAGAGCTATATGTTAATCCACTATAGGGAAATGCCTTACCTCACTAGTTCTTTTTTGGGGGGAGAAATTAATCTCCCAATTTTTATAAGCATCACAACAATTAACATCGCTAGACAACATAAAAGAATTTTAATAGGCTAGAGATTGTATTCATTTTTGACATGCTTAGAGCATCAATCACTAACCAGTTTCCTACTAACTTCTTTCTACCGAGCTTGGAAATTTCTCCAAATGCGAACTTGATTGATAAGCCTGTATTTTTAGAAGTAACATAGTAATGTTAAGGTTAGATCAATCTTTATTTTCTTCTTTCTACACGACTTTTTTTATATCTTTCCATGATCACATAGATTTCTGCAACTGTTCACTTGTTTTTATATATTTTCTAAAGCAGAAGAAAAAGAATCAGGATCTTTTTCAGAGTGAAAAAAAACAAAACACTGCCATGAAATGCAGGACACCCTTAAACACTCTTCCATTGTATGGATGTGAGCATCACCTCCTGGAGTTGTGCAACTGAACATTTGAAAAATATGTGACTGAAACACCTGCCATGCCTGGCCTTTTCTCTATTTCTTTCTGCCCTCCCCTTCCACTCTTGCCCAAACATACAATAATAGACAATGGGAAAATAAAAGGCAACATCAAAGAAACCTCATATCAAATTCAGACATAGCTAAATGCTCTTATTCCTAGTTTATTCAGACATTTCAGCAAATTCCCTTAGCGCTCACCTCTGCTGTTTAGCAAATTAACTCAGCGGTAATCCATACCCCCCACCTTAGCTACCTACTTTGAACTTTTCAGTTTCTCCCTTTGCAACCATGAATTGTATAAATTTAAACACAGTGAGCCTATACATGCACACACAAGTATAACACATTCAAAAACCCAAAGAGACTAATAAAGACAATACAAAAAAAGGAGAAATGGGGAGGAAATAATATCATTTTTTGAGAAATTTTGGGTGTCCTTGGGTCCTTCCAGTGAAAAATTTCTATGGTGAGATTCTCTTGGCATTTTTTCTTTATAACTACAAAGAAATCCAGGCCTGAATTGACAGCAGGTGGTGTCAACTTTCGAAAGTTTCGAGGTTGTAGAATGAGTACAAGCATTGTCACTAACATTTGTATTGAGTGCTTCCAAGGTACCAGGCAATGCTCTAAGAACTTTTTTTTTTGGTGAAATCCGTGATTTTTCAGCAACACCCTGCTTCATAGACACTGCAGCTGTTGCCACTGTCTAAATGGGGTGACTAAAGCAAATAGAGTCTAAGTGATTTATCCAAGACCCCACAGTTAATCTTGTGTAATTCCAGACCTTTAGCTCTTAATCACAACTAATGTAGTTCTAAAAAATGCCACTCTTTATTTTTTTTTCCTTCATAGGGTGATCAGGGAATTCCAGGAGACAGAGGCCCACAAGGTGAACGGGGGAAACCAGGCCTCACTGGCATGAAGGGGGCTATAGGTCCTGTGGGACCACCTGGAAGCAAAGGCTCCGTGGGCTCCCCTGGCCAGCAAGGACCTCCCGGCTCACCAGGTGTACCTGGAGCTCCGGTAAGTGGTTCTGGGAGCTTTGGTGGCTGCTAGCTGGTGTTGGCAACACATCCATCCCCTTTAAGTTTTGAAAACAATGATAATGTTTTAAATATACATGACAAGCTTAAACTCTCTCTGATAGTGGCAATGGCTGTCATTTATTTAAAGTTATTTTCCAGATCCTCTGCTAACCACTTAGTACACATTACCTTATTTGTCCCTTCTAGCCAAACAAGAAAAAAGGTGTCATTTCCATCCCATTTGTATAAACATAGAAACTAAGAGTTGGCTTGCCTGAAGTCACAAAGTTGTTGTGTGGGTCAGACAGGTGTGGCTGCCTTCGAAATCATGATTTATGCCTAGTACTGGCTGATTGTGTGAGTAAAATGTGTTTTAACTACCCCAGTTCATTCCAGGATTCTCCTTTCTGCCTAACATGGATATTTTAATATTATATTCCTTTGTTGAATGGTTACTGTTTACCACTCAGGATACTAACACATCTTTGGGATGCCCTAAGCTTTTAAGAGAATATCCCAATTTGGTACAGTGACAAATGAGGCAGGGTGAAATGGGGAGAAAGAATAGGTAGAAAGAAGAATCCTTGTGCCTACAAAACTGAATCATGAAAAAAATATTTTTAATTATTAAAAAACAATAAAATTGTTGTAAGGAAAAATAATTCAGCTATTTCAAAATGCATTGTTATTTATTATTTTAGCTGCAATTAGAAAGAGAGAGAGAATGGGCAAAGAGAAAGGCCCCATCTACTGGCTCACTCCCTAATATTCACAATGGCCAAGACTGAGCTGGGTTGAAGATGGTAGCTGGAACTCACCCCAGATTTCCTGCATGGGTGCCAGGGTCTCACACTTAAATCATCACTGCTGTCCCCTGGCTGGACATTGGCAGGAAGTAGAGCTGTAATGTAAACTCAGGCACAGGCAAGTGCAATGTGGGCATCACACCCAAAGGCTCACTCTCAGGCATGCTTTACAGTACTGACTTTACTGTCTCTTCGTCACCTACAGAAACCACGTTTCTGTTTCCTATTAGGACTCTGTTTTGCTGGACGTCAATACAACGGTTCTGCCCTACATGGTGCTTTGAATATGGAAGTTACTTAGGTCAAGAAACACTGTTTAGTTAGGGAATCCCAAATATTTGTTAATATCCTGAGAAATAATGAGTAGCCATTCAACAAAGGAATGTAAGGTTAGAATATCCATGTTAGGTAGAAAGGAGAAGCCTGGAGTGAATCGGGGTAGTTAAAACCGTATTTTATTCACAAAATCAGCTAGTACTAGATGTAAAGCAGATCAGCATTCTCACAATTCTGGTATTTCTGTATTAAAGATAAACTCTATTTAAACCAAGTTTGTGTAACTTGAACTTTCAGTAGCACAGAGTATGTCAGTATTTGATATTAGATGATTTCATTCAAGTCCATTGTCCCATCTACAGTAAGAATAAGATAATGACCTAGGGCATTCTTGAGACTACCCTAAGAGAAATCATCACTTTATGAGCCTGTGATATTATCTGAATTTTTTTCTTTTGCTTTGCTTTGTTTCTCTTGAGTTCTAAATGAGTATATTGTTATAAATGAATAAGCATCATTTTGCTCTGAAAATCCGCAACAGTGATAGAAACAGGACACAGAAACCTGTCATGGGGAACAATGGAGAATTTTCCAAGACAGAAACTTTATAAATAAGGTTGCACCAGTTAATTATAGAGCAGAGTTGATGTCACACACCAAGCTAAAAACCACATTGTATGGTGATGTCATACAAAGCTTTCAGGTCTCCAGTCTAACCATATCTACTGTAGCCTTTGTTCATATACCTTGCAATGGATTGTTGGCAATGAGAATGATTTCCTTTGTCACAGCCTCTAATTTTCATCATATTGTCCTTATTACCACAAAATGCTCCCAGATAGTAATCACCAAATGTAGTGGGTAGTAATGAAAAACTTTGGAACCATACCCATTGTGAGAAAAAGCAGAGATCCCTTTTAAAAATATGAAAGTACCAAATAGAGCATTACCATTATCAATGTTAGACTGTCAAATATATGTGGGTCTGATTGTTAGTGAGTTAAAAATTAGAATGATGGCATTTACTTACTTTTACCTGACCTCAAAAGCATTTTCAATTATGAAAATTGCTTAACACATGTATACTTGAAATGCATAGGTTGTAGAATAAAATGCAAACCTTAGTTAATAGCAACTTAGGAAACAATAGAACATACTTGGGGTTATCTTTGAGGTTCACTTACTTTGAAGATATGTACTATCAGTCAGGTACTAACTTTGTCAGTGTTCAATATTTGGTTAAAGATTAAATTGAGATAATAACATCATAACACTGCTCAAATTCTTTTACTTTGTAAAATTACATGATAAGAAATGTATTTACTAGTTGCATGAAGTCCTGTGTCTCCTTGAAATAGGAAATATGTTGACATCTTTGATTATAATGTCAGGCCACAGTCTTAAAAAATATAATTACTGCAAATTATTCTCGCATATGCACAAAATGAAAGAGTTCTAGTACCCAATACAGTCCATTGCTAAAAGCATTTTTCTTAATAAATATATCTCTAGAAGTTTTACTGTTTCTATTTGTTATTCATTTGTGCTATGCTGTATTTTAATGGTACATTTTTCCCTTCAGGCTGATGCAGTTTCATTCGAAGAAATAAAGAAGTATATTGATCAAGAGGTCGTAAGAATTTTTGAAGGTTAGCTTTGTTTAATAATATTTCTGAGTTTTTCACTATTTCCTTCTACCTATCCACTGTGGGGAATCCCTATAGCAACATTCTTGAAAAATGGTTCTGCAACAACATTAAGAGGCAACCTATTTTATAATATGATAACTCTGTTTGATAAAAAAGATCTTCCTTGTACTCAAGTAAAAATCCCTCCTTGTAGCTTTCTGTTACCATTCCTGGAATGGAAACCAGTACAGGCAATGTGGCCTCTCTGTACATGATAGCCCTTTGGGTATTTTTTTAACATCCACCACACCCCTCCTTATTATCCTCCTCTGTAGAGTCAACATGCCCAGGTCCTCCATCCTGGCACCCTTCAGCAGTGCTTAATTTATACATGACCCTCATCCCCCCAGAATGTTTAGATCAAGGGCAATTGCAGTATCCTTTGATCTTGACCAGGATCAGAAAACTATGATCTATCAGCCAAATAAGTCTGCCACTTATTTGTGGCTGAGCCTGGCTTCAATATCTTCATGGCATTGGAATGGCTTGCATTTTCAAATCAGTTTTAAAAGTAAAAGTGTTTCATGCTGTGCAAAGATGATCTGAAATTCAAATTTATCTCCCTAGTAATGAATGACTGCCACACAAGCCACCTAATTCCCTTACTTGTTTTCTTTGCTGCTTTCATGTTGCAAGAGCAGAAGTAAGTAATTGGAACAGAAATGCTAGCCCATGCAGACTAAAAACTTACTATCTGACCTTTTTCAGAGAAAAGTTTCTGACCCCTGCTCTTGGCACTTCAGTAATTCAACCTAAGATAGCATTGACATAATGTTAATTAATTTCAAGTTCTCAAATAAGTAGCCATCCTAAGATTCCTTACACAATTTTTTTTAAGATTTATTTATTTGTATGAAATATTAAGTGTATCTACTAAATTTCAGCTATTTGTGTTCATGCACTATTCCAGTTTGGAAACATCTATTGCATTGCTGTCTCCAGGACAGCAAGGTTGACTGAATGTTATAGGCATGCCATCATTCTAGTTCTTGATAAAAATGTTGAATTAAAAAGTCAGGAGTCAGAATTTCAGTTCTGTAAATGCCGCTGGGTTCCATCAGCCGCCTTGTAAGTCATCTATTTAGTCTATTGTTTGGTAGACTCTGAATGTACATAGCTGCCCTAAAATTAACCCTATATTTTTTGTCTATTCACAAAGATATCACTTGATTTTGTCAAATAATTGTCTAAAATCAGTGTCACTCCCCTGTACTCTGAGGTGAATAGTGTGGCAATTGTCTAGCAAATAAATCCAAATCGACTATCACAGTTCCTACCTCTGTTACTAAGCATCTATAAGTGAAAGATAGTTTGGTCATTTATTTGAGGAATAAGATTATAAGATGCCTTTCATCCATCTTGAACCTTTCTGGAGTCTGCTACTCCATATTTGATAAGGAAGACATCCTGATTATTTTAAATAATAATTAGTAGGGGTCAAAATCTCAGTGGCATGGGTCATCAGTTACCTGGAAGTGGAGTAGCATAAGGTCTTGCTGCTGTTTCAATAACAGAGCTTGAATTCATGCTACAAAGTTCAGATCTTGATAACTACTAAATATCTGCTCTGAAGGATAATCCGTTAATGCACTTGTCTAGTTCTCCTTCAAGCTACAGGTTTTCTCTTTGTAATTTTCATGTTGCCCTTTAATTTAGAAATCTTTACCTCTTTTCTGCACTTCTATCAAGCTTCATAAAACAAATGCTAACCTTTACAATCCAAGCATTCATTCCCTCTCAACATGTATGCCAAAATAACTGACTGAGAGGGAAAAAAAAAATGTTTCAAGCTCACCAAGGAAACACTGGAAAATATTGATTAGCTGCAATTTTTGCAGAACTCGGTGTAAAAGGAAAGTGTAGAATCCCTTGTTGAAACATGGTTGTGAATTTTAAAATAGAAAAATGGTAAGCCACAAAGGCAGTCCTGGGCACGGGATGTCAAATAATACGCATGCCTTTCATTGGCCATCACCCTGGGAGGGGAAACACGAGAAAATGTTTTTAAACTGCAGTCTAAAGTTACCCTTTAACTCTTGATTTCGTGGGCTCTGGTGTCATTAGTTGTCTTTTATCTCAGCCAGCTTGAATAATGAATTTCAGTTTCTTAAAAGGCTTTAGATGAATAGTTGAATAGCTCATCAGTTCAACTTTCTGAAAAAACAATGATTAGGAATGTTAGAAAATACAATAATCAGAAAATGTCTGATTAGGCATTGTTAGAGAAAAAACGAATTGCTGAAGCATGGGAGGTATTCACTTGGCAAGGCCCAGCCATTCCGAGGAAGGTGTGGCCCTTGGCCATCTGTCCTGCGTCCAATAGAAGTAACACTTGTTCCTCTACAAAGCAGGCTCTGTGCGGCTCTCCCAGGCCATTCTGTGGTTATTGCCTTGAAAAGCTGCCAGTCTCTGGAGAAGCGAGGGGAAGGGCTGGGGCCCTCTCTGCTTGTGTCCTGGGGCAGGCTCATCTGCCTTGTACTTTCTCAGTAGTTCTTCCTGTAAGTCTGCATCCTCCCATTCTGGGTTTCTGCCCCATGTGTTTTCTCAAAGTGACTCACTTGCAGGTGTAGTCTTTCTCAGGCTTCCTCTGACCTCACCCCTGTCTCTCCTGTCTTCCAACCTGGCTGGGTCCAGGCGAGTGGCCAGACATCTCTCCTCCCAAGTCCCCCAGATGGATGGCCTAGACTCAAGGTTTAAAAGTAACCCCAAAAGGAAATTTTTCCCCTGAAATTTCTAGACTCTAAGATCTTCTATGTGATATTCCTTTCCTTTTATCTCTGTTGACACCAGGCCAGTAAAACTGCCTTCCCCCTAACAAAATTGTACCTGAAACACAGAATTTAGTTATTTAGCACTTAAGTTAATTTGTGCCAAGATCATTTCAATTCAGGCAATTTGATTTTCCACTTAGAAGTCACCTTTTCCATGGCTTCTGAACACCATTAGCAAGAAAAGAAAACTCCATTTGCACAAATCACAGGGCTACAAGGTCATAGTTCCTTTTTTCAGAGAGCTATCTCTGTGAAAGCAAAGATTACTTTTCTCGAGTGAAAACAGTTACAGTTAAGCAGCACCTCTCCGCCTCCCTTTATCCTCAGCAGTTTTAAACTATCAATGGAAGCAAAGGCTTACCTCGCCTCCAAGCACCCTGCACAGCCACCATTCTCTCTGTTCAGCAAGTCGTAGACGCTTAGTGGTAGCTCAAGGAATTCCTCAGCAGACCCTGCTGGTCAGCCTACTTTATCATGCCAAGTGTTCAGAGAATCTAATGAAGCCTAAACCAGGACCTAAAACTCAAGTTCTTTAGAGACTGTTTAAGTGATGTCACTGACAATGCCCCACAAATCTCACACCTTGAGCTGCTCTCAGGCCACCAGGGCTTCCTTCTTCATTTTGATGCCCCTTCCCAAAGCTTACCACGATGGGGGTGGGTATCTTTCTTTAAGTCCCCAGATTGGATTTCAGATGGATCACAATGCACAAGCATAGAAGCACAGTTGGTTTAGATTTCCAGTTTGACTAGGCCAATGCTTTTCAAGGAAGCTGGCTGCACAGTGTAAGGGTTGATGTCAAGCATGTGTGTCAGCACTTTTTGGCATTACGGAGGCATCACAGCTACCAGTGATGCTGTTCACATGAATCAGAGTCTTCCTCAAAACTGAGAAGTTCAATTGTTGTTGTAAGATCACTTTAGTACACGTGGAGACTTACATCAAGATGCTGGAAGAATGTACCAACAATGCAGGAATGTGTGCAAACACTGTCTCTTGGTTCTTGGGATAAGCTGGGGGCAGGCATGGATGGTCATACATATAACTGAGAGAATAGGTTTGAGCTAACTATTCCTGAACAGTATTTCTGACTCTACATCCTCTTATATTTTTTCCATTTTCCATATTTATTTAATTACGCATATAAGTACATATGAATGTGTTAACATAATCTACTTCCTTCTTATTTCAAGATTGTAGTATTTTTTTTTGCCTCTGTGCACAAAGGTTACATTTTTGTACATATACGTATATCGGTATTTCTGTGCATGCACATCATTTAGCAGATCTACTTCTTTGCAGACACATGGAGTTTAGAAATTTTTCCAAATGTAGTTTCTGCTTATTTCAAGTTACTTCTTTTTGTTTCTTTGTTTGATATTCTTCTGATCAATTTGTGGGATTTTAGCATTAGTCAGTAATCCTTATCTGTTCAGTCATAAAAAGAACCGGTTCCAAAAATCTGATTGCAAATTGTGAGTGTGTAGTGGTGCTTATCAGCTAGGGCTTCCCCACAGGTAACTCCCTGGGCTTCAGAAGTTAGGCATTCCCCATTTCATTGTCAGTAATCGATTCATCGTCATCTGATCAGATCCCTCAGTGTTTCATGCCTGACTCCCAGCCCAGCACTGAGCATGAAAGTGCTCCTTTGTTTGCTTTTTTCAGCATCACAGCCCAAGTTCCAAGGAGTCTGAGTTTCCCATGTTAATCTATTTCCTATCCTTCACAGATTATAAACCTTCAGGCTTGTGCTGGGGTTGGAGGGACTAGTTAACAGAGAAAAGACTTTCTAAAACTACCTCTATTTTTTCATTTAAAATATTTTCCTTTTTAAAACCTTTTAACAGACCCATTAAGAAGCATACATACTTAACTTATGGATCCCTAAGTAGTACTCTATTGCATCTGTAGGCTGCACAATGTCCAATTGAAACATATGTCTTTATATGAAGTAACAGAACAAAATAGGATGAAACTGTATCAAGAAAATAGGCAATTATTACACATTTGAATAGATAATAGAAAAGATGATTTATTATCACATTAATAGTAATAGCTGTTATGAATTAACCCCTTCTCCAAGGAAGCTAAGCCATGATAGAATAACTGAAGTGATTTTTGCATTGGCAGGCGGAAAATACATGTTTAGTCTATAGCAACTTCTACTTAAATTCTTTAATTTCCTGCTTCATTAGAAAGCATAGCCAAAATCAGTTTAATTGACTAAAGATTCCTGAAAACAGAGGAAAGGCAATTAAGAATATAAACCTTTACAATTCATTGAGATGTTCAGGAACATATTCTTTTCAGTTATAGAACATTAGGGTAGAATTCAGAAGAGGTAATTACCTTTATACTAAATTGTTATTTCTGAGCACATCGTAAAGCTAGATAATGCACAAGTAGCAGCTATTATTTGTAACAGTTTACTATTTTGCTAAAATTGCTAAAAACAACCTGAAGCAAAATACTTGTAAATCCAAGAAGTACAATGAAGAGGAAAAATTCATACTGTGGATTTCTGTGTTTGACATTGAAAGCTTTCAAAGTGTTGTGTATCAAACAGAGAAAACTTTACTGAACTATATATTTTAAATTAAAAAAAAAATTATGTCGGGGCCCAGCACAGTAGCCTAGAGGCTAAGCGCCTCACCTTGCATGTGCCAGCATCCCATATGGGCACTGGTTCATATCATGGCTGCTCCACTTCCCATCCAACTCCCAGCTTGTGGTCTGGGAAAGGAGTAGAGGATGGCCCAAAGCCTTGGGACCCTGAAACTGCATGGGAGACCCAGAAGAGGCTCCTGGCTTCTGGCTTCAGATCAGCTCAGCTTGGGTCATTGAGGCCACTTGGCAAGTAAACCAACGAACAGAAAATCTCTGTCTCTCCGCTCTGTAAATCTGACTTTCCAATAAAAATAAAACCAATCTTTAAAAAAGATATAAATCTCCAAACTGTGATCATTGACTTTCACATTTACTATAAATTACCTAGTAAGATATTTATACCCAACATAATGGTTTGCAAGGCATTAACTATATATTAATTATTTATTTGATCTGTTAAGATCCTGAGTCAAAATGGAATATCATGAACTAAATATCTAAGATGTTCAGGCAGTAAAAGCTTACTGGAAGGAGTGTGATTTAGCATTACTCTTTGGAACCAGTGTCTACCACATCCCATTGCTTGCTCCCAATTCTCCTCAGATAACGAAGGTTGTGGTCCTCTGGGTGCTATGAGTCTGTCCCACTGTGTGGCCTCAGAGTGAAAGTGTAGGGTTGTTACTCTTTGACTAATAAAAGCTAATGCTCTCTGCTTAATAATTCTGTATGAAAAAATTATTTTACTCTCTTAAGCAGAGTAAACACCTGTATAGTTTCTGAGCGGCCTCTTTAATTTGAAAGCCCAAAGGAAAACAGGTCTTACTCACAAGTAATCTATTCTATACCAAAAAAGTTATAAAACATACAAATCTTTTTAAGCAAAATGTGCCTTCAGTTAAACGAACTGAACTACATGAATAGACTGAAGAAAATCAAACAACGCCTTTACAAGTCTATATGATTTCACTTTTGTTTTTTTCAACCAACACCTATCATCTTGTCTGTTGCTGTCATTTGATCTTCACCTATAAAAACAAATATCACACTTATCAATAAGAAGCTTTGCTGGAAAATTTGTCTCCACCAAACTCAATGAATTTTTAAAATCAAAGATGCAATTTGATTAAGCCCTACATGTATGCTTGAAAGATAATGTCTAAGCTTCAAAAATAAAATAATTAAAAATTTAAGGTAATCTGTTTGAAGCAGTTATGTGAAAAGAAAAAGATATGACTAGTTTGTCATGCCATGTACATGCTCATTCCTGTTTTTCTTTTTTTAAACCTAAGTATTTATAAATTAGATTTGTAAAATGTATATATCAAAGATAAGCAAAGCAAATTTAAATAGTCTAGTAAAAGATTGTATTTGTAGTAAACCTAAAATGATTCAATAATTTATCAAAAACCCAGTTAATTTTGGTAATGAAAATGCTTTTGAGATAGATTAGCAATGTCCTACATGAGATTAAAAACCAAGAGTTTAAGAATTGTAAATGTAATCCTGAAGTGATTAGTCGAAAAAGTAATTCTGAGAACTAATATCTTGTAATTATATAATAGGCTCAAAGTCTATTATATCACACTACTGGCCTGAAAATTTATTAGCAGATAATTTTTATGTTATATGGGACAAATGAAAACACAGATAATAGCTCCAATTAAGTGAAATTTTTCCATGATTCCCAAACAAGAGCACTTAAAACAGAAACTACAAATATTTAATGCAAGGTTCTACTCAGAGAATCTTTAATGTTTAAATATTTGCTTTAAAATGAAAATTTTTATCTATTTTTGAGCGTATTCCTTGAACACCTTTAATTTTCACATCTCTTAGAATTTGATGAGTTATTAACACACACATTTTCTGAAATGTGTATTACTTTCATGTAAAAGCCTTGTGAGTTCTTAGTGAGTCTGCCTAGTATTAACAGTGGCTGCCACTGTGCTAGTTGTTTGTGACCTAGTGATGGAGATAATATTGAGGAGCTAGCTTCAATTAATGATTTGTTTGCTTTCTGGCTATTTTCTCCAGAACCCAGATGAAAAATGTTATGTTCTTGAGGAATGAAAAGGGCAGTTGACAATTTCATTGATTATTTAGTAAGGCTTAAGCTCATAAAAGTTGTACCACTCAAAGCCTACACAATATTTGTTTTGCATATTGAATTTGTTAATGTCCTGATTAGTTTGTCAGTTTCTTATTACTGGTGTGTTCTCAGTTTCAGTGTTTTCTGCAGGGTCACATGTATTTACAGGAACATTTTGGTGTCTTCATAGGTTCCATAATTACAGTTCAGAGAGAGGGTAGTCATTTGTACCAGGGCTGACTTTTTCCCCCTTGATCAAATTGCCATCCTTCCTATTGAAAGTTTAACTGACTAAGAGAAATCCAACCAGGAAGAACATGAACAATATTTGTGGCATATGATCAATCTGTCTTTAAAAAGTAGAAGAAAATAGCTATTGATAAAACATTATATTTGCTCGCTGTACGGAATGAACAGCAAAAGTCCTATTGAATATGAAGCCAATGACAATCTTCTCAATAAACAAGCTTTACTGTTAATAGTGATGTGTTTTTAAAGAATAACAACTGTTTAAAGCTATGTAAATTATCTATTCCTACATAGGAAAAATATGTACAAACTTTAGTGGCTTAAGACAACAAAAATTTGGAATTTTTCTGAGTTGGGGACTTGAAAGTTTGCTTAGGTATGTGATTCTAGCTCCAGAGAATAGTGAACTTGCAGCCAGGATGTTGTTCAGAGCTGCAATTTGAAAGCTCAGCCTGGACTGTACAGTCAGTTATAAGTTCACACACTTGGCTACTAGCAGGTGATATCAATTCCTGCCTGTGTGGGATTCTCCTTGGGGCTTCCTGAGTATTCATCGCAGAAAGAAAAAGCAACTAGAACACCATGGTACCTTCTGTGATGCAGTCTATCCAGTTACATACTATATACTCTGTTTTTTAAAATATAAATGTGTATACACACATATATGTGTGTGTGTATATATATATGTATATGAACAATGAAAAGTAAGCTAATCTTCTATTGAAAAGTAGAGGGATGAGGTTTGAAAGAGAGTATAAAGGAATTTGTGACCATATTTTAAATCACCACACATACATTCAGAATGCTCCAGAAACTGGCAATGTTAGAAAAATTTTTTTGTAATGTGAACCTAAACTCCACAAGCCATGGCATTAGATTCCCAAGCCAGTGTCTCTTCCTCTAGACCACTTCATCTCAGAACCGCTGATCCTCTCAGATCCTGGGAGCAGCACAGAAAGTCAGCAACAGCCAGAGAGTTTGGTGCCCTTTTATGTATTTCCTCCCAACAATTCAGCAGTCAATTGATAAATTAAATGTACACAAAAAATGAAGTCTCTTTGATTAGCTTCATGTACAGTATTTTTTGAAAAATAGTTACTTAAGAATAGCTGCTATATGATATATTCTTTTTTTTTTCTTCCATAAATGAAGAGAGGATGGCCGTATTCCTATCTCAGGTCAAGTTGCCTGCAGCAATGCTAGCTGCTCAAGCCCATGGGAGACCTGGCCCGCCAGGGAAAGATGGGCTACCTGGGCCACCAGGAGACCCTGGACCCCAAGGTAAGTCCTAAAGTGTAGCATTTGTTTATCAACATTTTAAACCTCGGCATTAATCACATGCAAATCAGATAAGGAAACACATGTAATATACATAAAAGGATTTCCTATAAAGTATCTTCTTAATATTTTGAATATTTAATGGAAATACAGTAAACATAATAAGAAATGCAGGTAAGTTTACAGAGGTATGAGATTTCGGTCTTCTGATCACACTTATAAGCATCAGATTAACACTGCTACATTACTGGTAGCGTGACAGTCCACAGTCGTCAAGAAGTATGTGTTGTTATTTGCAAAATATCATTCAGTCAAGCAACGTCTATCACTGTACACCAAATGATATCATATCCATCCAATTTTTATATCCTCTCTGTTAACTACCATGAATAAGAGAAGACATGTTATATCTGCCACTTTGGGTCTGGTTTATTTTACTTAGCATAGTAAGCCCCAGTTGCATTCATTTCCATGCAAATTTCAGGATATAATTTTTTGGCTAAGTAATATTCCATCATGTATAAATATTACATTTTCTTTTCCAAACATCAGTTGATAGACATCTGGGTTGATTCCATTTTCTATTTATTGTGAATTGAGTTAAAATAAACATAGGAGCAAAGACATCTGCTTTCTATACCAGCTTCATTCCCTTTGGATATGTTCCCACAACTGGATCATACAGTACATTTATTTTTCATTTCCTGAGTATACAGTTTTCCCTAGTGGTTGTAGCAATATACATTCATCTCGACAATATATTAGTGTACTTTTTTCACTACGTTTTTGCCAGCATTTGTAGTTTTTTTTTTTTTTTTTTTTTTTGGTTTGAGGATGGCAGTCATTTTAACTGGGATTAAGTTAAACCTCATTGTAGTTTTTATTTGTTTTTCCCTGATGATTAATGACCCTGACCACTTTACTGTGTCTATTTCCTATTTGTATATCATCCTTTGGAAAATGCCTATTTCTATCCTTTGCTCATTTCTTAGTTGCATTGTTTGTTTCATTAAATATGAGTTTCTCAAACACCTTACATACTTTGGATAAAGAGTTTGCAAATATATTCTCCATTCTTTATGTTGCCTTTTCACTGTCAATATTTTTTCTTTGCTGTGCAGAACCTTCTTAGCTTGGTGCAATTCCACCTGTGTATTTTTGCCTTTAATGCCTGTGCTTTTGAAGTCCTATTCAAGAATTCTTTTCCAAGATCGATGTCTTTCAATACTTTACCTATGTCTTCCTCTTATAATGTGTTGGTTTCAGGTCTTGAATTTAGATCCTTGGACCATTGTGAGTTAGTTTTTGAATACAGGTTAAAGGGGGTCTTGTTTCAAATTTCTGAATATAGGAATCAGTTTTTTCAATGTCTTTTGTGGAAGAGACAACCCTTTCTGTGAGTAATAATTGTAGTTTGTTAAAGATAGTTGGTTTTAGCTGTGTGCACTAATTTCTGTTTCTCTTCTGTTCTATTGAGGTACATGTCTTTTTGTCTTAGTACCAGGTTGTGCTGATTATAATAGCTTTGTACTCTGTCTCTCAATCTAGTATTATGATACCTCCAGCTTTGCTTTTATTATTTAAGATTCTTTGGCTACTTGGGGTCTTTCATATTTCTGTATGAATTTTAGGATTGTTTTTCTTAGCTGTGTGAAGATTAACCTAATATAGTATATATAGTGTATATACTATATAGATTGGAATTGCATTGAGTCTAAATCACTTTTGATAATGTTAATTCTTCTAACCCATGAACATAAAAGATTTGTTCAGTGTGTGTGTGTGTGTGTGTGTGTCTTTCATTTCTTTGATTAATGTTTTATCATTTTTATTATGGAGGTCTTTTAATTTTTTACTAAATTACAAAACATGTAACATGTTTTGAAGCTATAGTTAGTGGACTTATCTTGGACGTTCTTCTCAGTCACAAAATTGTTGATGTGTAATAATGCTATTGATTTTTGTGTGTTGATATCACATCCTGTGCCTCTGCCAAATTCTTGAGTTCTGATTGACACGTTGTGGTTTTGCCGTATAAAGGATCATACCATCTGCACACAAGGATAATTTTACTTCTTCCATGCCAATTTGTATCCCTTTAATTTATTTTTCTTACCTGAAATATCTGGCTAAAACTTTTAGAACTATATTGAATATAGTGATGAGACTGGATATCCTTCTCTGATTTCAGATCTTAGAGAAAATACTTCCAGGTGTTTCCCATTCAGTATGATACTGGCTGCAGTTTCAACACACATTGCCTTGACTGTACTGAGGAATGTTCCTTCAAAGCCTAATTTGCTTAATATTTTTATCATGAAGAGATGATATATTTTATCAAATGCTTTCTCCGCAGCTATTGAGATAATCATATGGTTTTTCTAAATACCTCATTTTGTTGTGGTGGTTTAGCATTATGATTTTGATTTGCATATGTCATATCATCCCTGCTTGCCAGGAATTAACCCTACTTGGTGCAGGTAAATGATCTTTCTGAAGTGTTGTTATATTTAATTATCTAGTATTTCTTTTGCCTCTTTATGTTCATCAAGAATATTGGTCTATAGTTCTCTTTATTGTATTTTTCTCAAGTTGCAGAATGAATTTGCCAGGGACTTCCTTCCCTTTCAATTGTTTCAACTATGTTGAGATTTGGTATTAGTTCTTTAGATGTTTGGTACAACTGAGCAATACTGGGCATTTCTTTGGAGGCTCTTGATCTCTACTTTGTTTGTTGGTTTGTTTAGGTTTTATATGTCTTTGTGTCTTAATTTTGACAAATTATATCTGCCTAGAAATCTTTTCATTTTCCAATTCATTGGAATATAGCTGTTTGTATTCATAATTTATTGCGTTTCTGTGATCTAGTTGTAACACCTCTTTTTTCATTTCTGATTTTACAGTTTGGGTCTTTTTATGATGAAGCGAATGGTTCATCAATTTACTTCTTCAAAAAACTCTTCATTTCACTGGTCTTTTTGTGTACTTTGTGGTTATTTTCCTAATTTGTATTAGTTTTTTTTCTCTTAATAGTTCTTGGGTTGAGTTACTTCTTGCTTTTATGGATCCTTGATATGCATTACTGATCACTTATTTGATACTTTCCACATTTTTTCATAGAGGCAGTCATTGCCATAAACTTTCTTCTTTATGCCACTTATGTGGTATCTCATACATTTTGATATGCTGTGTTTTCCTTTTCATTCATACTAAGGAATGTTTTTATTTCCCTTTTGATTTCCTCTGTGAGGCACTGTTCATTCAGGAGCATGCTGTTTGCTGTCCATGTTTTTATTTTCTAGAATTTTTTGTTAATTTCCAACTTGATTCTGTTGTCATAAGACTTTATGATTTTAGTTTTAAGGAAAAAGCTTTGAGATTTGTTTTATTATACAGTATAAGATCTGTCCTAGAGAATGTTCCATGTACTGATCAAAGGAATTTATGATGTAGCTGTGGGATGAGATGCTCAATGGATGTCAATTGGGTCCATTTTTTCTTATTACAGATTAGCTGTATTGGTTGTCAAGTTTTTGTTTGGCTGATCTGTCCTTACAAAAGAGGAGTGTTGAAGTACCACATTGGTATTGTCATTGAGCTCTGTCTCTCTTTAGGTCCATTAACATTTTCAAAAATTTTTATAAAACTTGGAACTCTGCATGAGTACATTCATACTTACTGTAGTCAAATCTTGTTGAATTGACCCCTTAATCTTTACATAATGGCATTATTTGTCTCTTTTAATAGTTTTTGTGTTAAGGTAGATTTCATTTGACGCGAGCATAGCTGCTCCTGCTTGCTTTTGATTTCCATTTTCATGGAATGTTTCTCATCCTTTCACTTGCATTTTATATGTATTTTTATTGTTGAAGCCTATTTCTTCTAGGCAGCAAGTAGATGGATTTTTAATCCATTCAACCAGTATATCTTTTGAAAATTTTGTCCATTTAAATTCAAGGTCATTATTTATAAGTAATGACTGTCACTCTTTCCATAAATAGCCCTATTGTCTGTTTTTAGTCTCCTCTGTTCTTTTACTAGGAGGTTTATGCCTTCATACATTTTCATGATGCTGATTAGCTATCTATTTCTGTATGTACTGTATCATTAAGTATCATTTGTAAAATTGACAGGGTAGTGACAAATTCTTTTAATTTTTTGTGTTAGAATATCTATTTCACCTTGATTTATAATGAGAAGTTCTCTGTGGGATAATATGCTGTGTTGGCATATATATAGACGGTGCTGTGTCTCTTCATTCTCTCCTTGCCTGTATGGATTCTGTAAGGACATCTTCTATCAGTCTGATAGGAGTTTGTTTATCTGATATTTCTTTACAAAAGTTTTTATATTCTAACCTTAATGTGTTGTGGTAGCAATCTTTTCTGATCATGTTATGTGGAGTTCTGTGTACTTCCTGTATTTGGATGTCCATATCCTTTATCAAAATCAGGAAATTTCCTGCTATTATTTCAGTTAATAGCTTTGTAAGACTTTGCTTTTTCTCTTTTCATACCTTCAGGAACAGCTAAGACTCCTACATTTGGTCATGTGGGAGTATTCCATGGATTCTAAACACTGTTCTCATCTGATTTTTTGTGTGTATGTATGAAAGATTTTGCAAGGCCTTCCTTCTGGATTAGGTGTTATTTATTCTGCTTCACCAAGTCTGTTAAGGATTTCTACAATATCTTTTTTACTTAGTTCATTTCTAATATCTTTGGGTTTTTTTCTTCAATACCACTTTCTTTGCAGAACTTCTCAGCTACTTATGTATTTCATCATTTAACTTTTCCTGTACTTTTGTGTAAACATATAATCATTTTAAAATTCTTTAGATATTTCATCAGTCTCCACTTCTAGTGTAGAAGTAATATATTATTTTGTACTTTGGGGAGAGTTATATTGGTTGCCTTGTCCAAATTTCTTCTATTTGTACATTGATTTTTCTGCATCGGGAGCTCTCTCATTATCGTCTTTTCCCCAGGATTTTGTTTTTGTTG